TCGCCTCTCTCTCTCACTAGCTCAATTAATATTTCTTGCCAATCCGCCATTTTTCCACAGCACAGTGAAAGCAAACATTAGTCATGTGATTTTTTTTGTCCAATCAGAGTAGATATGCAACAATTACTCGTCACTCGTTGACGATTTTGGTGTGCATGCTCAACGGCGACGAATTCGTCCATATCGTCATATTTTCTTGTTGACGAGCGACTCGTCACGAAATTCGTTGCATTTCGACGATAGTGTGGCCCGCGCTTAAGACTACGACAACGAGTACGAAGGTTGACCGTGTAAGGGAATGGCACGAGGAAGTTTGTTGTCGTTGTCGCTTCGTCAAAATTTTGTTTTAGCTCTAAACAACAGAACGAGCCTTTTATTGTGAAAAATACCGACGTTTGCGAAGCAGCTACGGCTCTATTTGTCAATAATGATATCAACAAATCGGTAATACTGATTTTGCAAGAATATAGGACTCTTTGGACTGAGAAATCTTCACTATTTTAAGTTTTATGTAAGATATATTTGTACTACTTTATTGTTTGTTTACCTTTCACTTTGCGTACGAAATACATGAAAGTTTTGCAGGTCATGTTTTCCTTTTTAATGTACATCTGCGCTCAAAAAAGGTTCTAAATTAAAGCCTGGATGCTCGAAAATCGTACTGTAAACTAATTTCTTACAGAATGAAGAAATATATCTACTTTCTTTGCTTAAAAAAACATCGTAGTCGCGACTACAAATTTTTTACGAAGCATCGTACTCAGATTGATGACGGCTACGTGTTGTTGTTGTCGCAATAATGTTTTCGCGCCAAAATGACGTAAATCGTACTCGTAGTCGTACTTGTAGTCTTTGCTAAAGCTTCCTACTATTTTACTGTCGACTTCCGTATTACTTATGACGTCAAATGAGCAAACATAGTGGCCAAAAAAAGGTTTGCTCTCGAGGACAACTTTTGGAGTTAAAATTTGTCAACTTCCACTCAACGTAAAATGGTCATAAATACATCAAACTGCTTACCAAAATCTAAATACATGTTTCAACGAATAAAAAAGAGTGCGAAAATTTCAATTCATAAACAACTTTAGCTCGACAGATAAGATTCTCGTTGAATAAAACGTCTGGTCGTAGTTCAACTCGATATGACCTTCAAATCCTGATAACAAGTGTGTTTGAAACTTTGTAAACAGTAAACACAGCAAACTAGTTTTAAGTCGATTTAACTCCCTTCGGACCCTCTGTAGCTACTGACTGTATGTTATTGTGACTTTGGTCTGCACTAGAAGTATTAAGTTTCAAGCAAACTCAAATCGTCTTTTTCAAAAAGCTTCTATGTGCTCGATACGAATAACCTTTTTGCAAGTAAAGTTAATTTTATACAACAAGAAGTGATTTTCAAAAGCTTAAATAGAATTTTAAATTCAGCGTTTTGAATCCATCATTAGCTAATTGAAGAGTTCAATAATCTTGGATTCAATCCTCTGAAGAAGGACTTTACTTCAACTGTTCAACTGAAAACAGTTGTTCTTATCGTAAAGAGATGTCTTCCATGAGAATCTATCTTTGCTACTTCAATGCTTCAAAAAATTGATAGTCAAAAATCAGCCAGCTTTTACATGACTGAAAAAAGAGTCGCATTTTCATATTTTATCAAAGTGCTTTACTTTTCCTGACATCATATAGTTCATACGAAGTCCATTCCGCGAATTGTGTGATATTTCTTGACAAGTAAAATGTTGCTATTGTACTTGACAGTAATATTTTATTATTTCAATAAAAAACTATTTTTAACTTTTCTTGAGAGGTACTTACATAAAATGTACTCTTTATTTCCTGACCAATGAAGATATAAAAAGCTTTAAAAGAAAATTTATAGTAATATCGTCCCATGGGATTCGATATATTTCCTTTCAAAAATAGACGGGAAACAGTTTGATCTGATAAATTCACCCGAATGGCAATAAATAGATTTCCAACTGCAAAACTGTGATCAGATATACTTGAATAATTAGATAATTTCTTCCTTGTACTTTTTTAGAATGAAGCCCTTTCATTTATTTTTATTGCATCATATTCCAAGTGCTCTAACCCTAACCCTAACCCTTACAGGCAACCAAGTTTCCCACCCTGCATCATCAAGCATTCTTGCTCACATTAACGCAACTGGACACACCCCCACCTTAGACGACTTTAAAATAATCTCCTCTTCCAACGATACTTATGAACTCTCCATTCATGAAAGCCTTCTAATCAATAAATACAAGCCTTCACTTAATGTGCAAGGAAACTCCATTCCACTTAACCTCTTTTAATTTCTCTTTATTTTACTTCCTAACTTCCTTATCATGTATCCATTCGACACCGCTTCCTTTAGTAGTAATTTAACACCTTTTTCTAAATATAATATCTTGTCTTAACATCCTATTTATTATATGTCTGAAGATGTCTTGAGTAAAGACGAAACGTCACAATAAATTTAATTTTACAATTTTTCTGGTCTATTTCTATGGCTCTAATCAGAACTTTATGTTGGGCATTAATTTTTATCACACTAATCCAATGAATATCTCGTTGGAAACCAGATCAGTTGAATTTTAATTGACCTGGAATAACCGACTGATAGGCGGGGTGGCTTGACTGGTTCGACGGATAAAGGAGTCTATGAACGCCAAAAACGCTTATTTTATTGGTCAATGGCCAGATCAGTGGACAGTCTGGAATGGTCTCGACTGATAATAGGGGTGGCCGGACGTATAAGGGAGTCCAATTGCTATCTTACAATTGGTTCATTTGAATTTTTGTTTTATTGTGATTGGTTGACGGATTTCGACTGATAGCCAACTGAACTAACATAGTCAAGCTTACTGTCTGAATTGAATGTTTGATCGTTTCATAGTAATTATTATAAGCATGATAGAAACTAAACTACAATCAGATGGAATTTATGGAAATCGTTTGCAAATTCATATATTGACATGAATGCTGCTGTCCAAACTGTGAATTTTTTCAAGAGGGCGAAAAATTTATGAATGAATTGTAAATGCTTGGCAAAGACGATCTCGCGAGCGACATTTCGGTCATTGATGTTCAAAAGAAAGCCAACATTATTTTGAGTTTTATCAGCAGAAATTTACATCCAAAATCGTAAGTAAAGGACAAGTGAAGTGTATGCATGAATGTAATATATCAAAGTCAATTTATGCGAGTGTGTGATGCGATTTATGTCAATATGGCGTATGGTAAGCAGATTGATGCTTCTAAAATTGTTGTTGCCGAAGGACTTTTAGCTATGATTTCTTTAGTGCTTGGGGAATCGTGACCGTTATATGGCAGCGAAATCCTACATTCCTGCAAATATATTTCAATGAACAAAAAATCTGTAGCCATAAGGCGCCATACTATTATTTACTTTATCATAAACAAATGTTTGGGGCTTTTCAGTTTATTGATCATTCAATCATTAGACAGTTATACTACATATTGTTTAAGATTTGAGAAAACTAGCATTGATTACATGAGAAGCTGTTTACTATAACTAGTGATTTTGAGTCTTTTCTGATCCATGAAGCTTTTTATTTTGACAATTTGACTGGCATGATATTAAACCTAGGTATTTCACATACATGAAATGTTGTCCCATGTCACATATTGTCCCCTTTTCTAACTGAGCATCTCATGTAGAAATGTCAAGGTGTGTTGATATACGGCTCATACCAGATTGTTTGCCATAAATTCCAAAGGGCTATTGATGTATGAAAAGCATTTTCTATAAAGTAAAAACGTATTCCTATGTATGCAGATAAACCTTGAAATTTGGCAAAACAGCAAAGTATTTTTTATGATCAATAGGTAATTTTTCTGATGATCATTATAATTTCTAAATTAAATTATTTCAAATTTACATTTAAACGAGCTTTGATCATATGAAAAGATATTTATCATAACCACTAAGCATGACAGATGAACCAATTTTAACATTCATGTAATTATATAATTAAAGGCATGTTGGTTACATTCTGTTTGTATTGGCAAATACAATGCTACTGGTGATTGCTATATAGCACACCTTGCATATACTTACAGAGGATAATAGTCTAATAGCCTAATAAACATTAATGGCATTAAGCTGTCCAGTAATCAACCTCAGTTGACAACGCCAGCGTGTCAAAATAAAATTTTTTATTCATTCATTCATTTAAGGCTTTATCAGGTGTTAAAGATCAAATGAGTCCGATTTTCAGTCTATTTCAATTTCACTCCTTTGAAACTATTTTATTTGAGGACCAAATGTTTTGGCAATGGTGAGATAACGAAGAACCAAAAAACGTTATAACGACTGTTGCAGAGGATGTCTTTGCAAAATTTAAACAAATTTTCAACCTTCTAAACAGTCGGAAGCGTGGGGTTTCGTGAATTTGGTCCGAAGGCATAGTATGATACGGATCTCATTTGTAACTTTATGATAAAAATATCTGAAATACAAGAATGATTTCTTTTAATGGCTAGAATATGAAAATAGAAGTATCGAGTAAAGTTTTTATTTCTATACTAATAAATATTTGGTTCAAAGTTCAAATAATGACACACTGATTTGAATAATAATACCTTGTCCAAAGGTCACTTTTGACGTCTTGCATGATCAGGTAACTTCTATCTTACAACAAATGTTTTGAATACGTACATAATTTACAGACAGATAAAAATACTTTATACCACACCTACACAGTAAAATTTTGAGGCGTTCGACTCAAAAAAAACTTTGAATCGGGTCTAAGCCCTTGTCATTGAAAAATATAGTGTAATGATGACCAATTCATCATGTAATTTGAAAAATCTTGCACAAAATAGTCAGCATCGACACTTAAAATGCTATTAATTTTCGTATTACTTTTTGATAGATGGTGTTAAATCAACACTTGCATTGTATATAATCTTTATACATAACGAAATATCAAAAATACAAGTGTAAAGGTAAATGTTCCAATTTCAGTCACAAAGAGTATAAATGAAATACTTTCGTTTCTTGTGCATTAAATCGTTCCAGGAACTATTTACCATATCTTGAATAGAGATGAAACCCCGCTGTTGCTTTTGACCGACTTCTGACAAAAACAACATTGAAACAGATAATCTTGTTCAACGCTTTATATCTATAACCCTTTTTACTTTTGATCAGATTGATCTATCCACAAGGGTATGCATTCCTTAAAACCAAAGCTTAAATCTAAAAAAGAAGAAGAAAAAATTTTAAATGAAGCTAAACAACACGTCGAAGACGATGGATTTGATCATAAAATTGCTTTGTACAGCAAATTGCAAAGAAAATTCGAAGCGTTGGATAATTTAGAGTTGCATTTTGCTTTATATGGGTCGAATAAATTAGGAAAATCATCTTTCATCAATGCCATCTTTGGGTAAGTTGTTTCTGGTTTGCTTTATGATAGAAACGATGTCCATAGTTAGTTGACTTGTTAATACAAATGATACAGGTTGCGTTGAGTGCTTTGTTTATAATTATAAAATATTGTAAGTCTACAGTTAAAATTGTTTCACAAATATGTGAAATCGTCATTTGTCTTTGGCATTATTTGGTAAAAATCTTATATTCTAATAGCTTATTCGCAATCAATGCCAATATTATTTTTCGTGCGATGACCAGATATTAGCCAATATATTTCAAGTTAAGTAATCAGTGGAATAAAAATGCTGTCTTAGAATATTTATGATGTGACTTTGAAACTCAGTCAGTGAGTGTAACTAAGTATGCTTTTAGAATACGGGCGATAGCGTGATTAATTGTAATTTCATCTTCTTTCATGGCAATATATGATTAGTTGTGCTATAAAAATTTGTCCATGTTGCACACAGTGTTTTAGTAAATAACATAAATTCTGAAAATCATAGATAGAAAATTGAAATTGGGTTTGAGCTAATTTTTACATTTTTAAGTTACACGCCAAAATAAAAAGGGAATATTAAATAAAAATGGAATAAGGAATTTTCATCCAACATGAAATATTTAAATACAAACTTTTTTACATGACAGCTAAAATAACCATTGCTTTGTCATTGGTTCTCATACTATTACTTCATCTGATTTTTTAAATTTCAAAATTTCTAACGATTGTAAAAGTGATTTGCTAAAATTTAATACTTTTGGAATCAGTACTTTCGCTAAATGTTTGTGATAAAATGTCTGAATGCCTAGAGTCAACTTAATATTTCCTTTAGCCTACTTTAAAATTCAAAATATTCCTACTTTTCTTAGGGACGAAATTGACCTAGAGAGTCTTGCAAAAGTTTCTTTAGTTCGTCCTAATAATCGCAAAATCAAATTCAGGAATATACGATCAAAAGCGTTTTCAAAGAAGCCAAGATTAGATGCATTTCTTATATTTGTCAAATCGAGAATAACGGAGAAAGAGAAAACAACTGTTAAGAAAATTTCAGAAAAGCATGGAATGCCGTTCGTTTTTATTCTCACCCATTCTGACGAATCCAAAGATAACGAAGCAAGTCTTTTGGATCAACTTAAGAGAGATATTGAAGGCTTAGTGAAAGATGAAGCTGATATTTACGAAATTAACAAACGAGATACAGCAAATCATAAAATCAAGGGTCTGTGTGAAGATATTATCTCGAAGTTGGAAAATAATTCGTTTCTGAATAAAGAATATGAAAAAGAATTCAAAAAGAATTCGTTTCTGCACTCGTTGAATAAAGCCATTTATGTAAACAACAAGAAAACCAAGAAATTTTTTAAACAAGCTAAGAAACAGGGTGTTCCTCATATTCACGGCTTATACAACAGTCATTTAATTGCTTCGTGGATGAACACAGAAATAAATCTTGCAATAACTGGAGATTCTGGAACAGGAAAATCATCTTTCATCAACGCCGTGAGAGGGTAATTTATCTATTGCTTGAAAATCAAAATAAACTCTGGAAATTTTAATAAATAAAATCATTTTTTCATTAAATAGCTTATGTGTTTAGCTTAAAGCCTAAACCTGAAGACTAAAACCCCGAACGAACAATTTATGATTTGAATTTCTACCATTAATGAACGTGATTGCATTAACCTAAACAAGTAAAATGTAGAAATTGTTAACTATTTGAGGATCTTTGTTTTCTTCAGAATTAAAGCTTATGAGAAGGGGGCAGCAGCTGTTGATGTTGCAGAAACGACTAAAAAAGCCACTAGATATTCACATCCAAAACATAAAAATATTATTTTCTGGGATCTACCAGGTATTGGAACACCTAAATACCCCAATTATAAAGAGTACTGTAAAAAAGTTGGTGGTCTAGAGAAGTACGACGCTTTTCTTATTTTTTGCAAAACACGATTCACTCATTATGACAAAGAGTTAGCTGAGAAAATTTCAAAAGTTGTCGAAAAACCTTTCTTTTTTGTTCACACCAATGTTGACACCGAACTCAAGAATGCGAAAGATGACGAAGGACCAAAGTTTAATGAAGCAACTGTCATGAAACGTATGAGGGAAAATTGTATGAAAAACCTGGAAGTTTTAATGCACGATGAGAAAGATATCTTTTTGATTGACAATAAGGTTACAGAGAAATATGATTTTCAACGTTTGAAGGAATCGATTGCCGAAGCGTTACCTGAGGAAAAACAAGAGAGTTTTGTTGCTTCCTTGGATAAGTCTACACATACAACAATAAGAATTAAGGCCAACTTTTTGAGAGGTATATTCAGTTTTAATATGATATCTACAGCAGCTAAAAGAGTGTAGTATTTTATGGCATGCATGCATTGCATTTTCTATCAAATGCAAACAGTTAGTTTCTCGTATTCGCTTTAGTTACTTTACACAGGAAACTAACAACAATATCAGCATACCCCAAGAACTATTTGATCAGATATTTCAATTTGACAAAAAGTAATGTAGATACAATGGTCACTTATGAAAATTTCTATGCATTTGTCTTACTACCTTTATGTTGCTATTTAAGTTTGTAAAACTAACGGGGTGTTTACATGAGTCCGGAATGACTTCCGATCCGGAATGAACTCATTCCATTTTAAAAGAAATTCTATTGTATGTTTACATGAATCTGGAATGAGTTACAACTCGATTCGGATTGAGTTCATTCCTATTTTCATTCCGGATCGAAATTTAGTCTTAACCTCAATTTAACGCGAATTGAGTTTCATTCTGGAATGAGATTGTGATTAATGACGAAGCACGCATACGCCATGTGTAGTGTCTTCTGGGAAATTGAAGATCGTATGCAAATAAATGAGCTAAATGGGCTAAAATGAGTGCAAAGGAAAACAAAAATTAGTTTCATACAAGTGTTAAACTGTATTAACGCAGGAACAACAGAAAAAAAGGGTTGCTATAATGTTTATGTTCGCCATTTTCAAAAATCAAAATTCCTGCGAAAGGTCATTCCGTGTGTTGATTTTCCATGTAAACACGGGGATTGACATCACGTTTCGATCGGGATTGAAAGTCATTCCAGATTCATGTAAAAAAAAACCTAAATGGTTTTGTTATTCATTACGTGAGCATTCTCGCTGTGATTGGTCAACTACCTGCAGTTAATTCTCGATATCTGTAGGTTATGACGTCATAACCTACAGATAATAGTTTCGACAAATATGGCCGCCATTAAAAGCCGGTTTTGAAAACAAATCAAACAACAGCGATGTTTGCCACAGTTTCTAAAAACGATGTGAAAGGTCTTTAAGGAAAAGGATGCGGAAAACACTAAAAAAGCGGCGAAGTTGGCTTTGAACACATTTACAACATATTTAAACGAGACGAACTTGAATAAACCGTTTTTCAAAAACAAATCATCGAATGTTTGAAAAATGTTTTATATTGATATGTTTTGATAATACTTCTATAAATAATAAAACAATTGATGAATTCGTGTTTCGCATGATATCAAGAATTATTCAGACCTTGGTCAATGTTATATCCGCCTTTGCTTCGCTTCGTCAGATAACAATTACATCGGTCTGAATAATTATTGATATAATGCTCAACCTAATCCAATAATTGCTTGTTATCTGTTTATAGTTCTAATTTCTTTCATATTTTCAAAAATATTTCAGCTCATGTACAATTGGTGATTGTTTTGTTCGTAATTGCTGAATCTAATCCTAAAGATTTTGTGGAACTGATATCGTTGGAAGTCATTCGATATCATCGCGTATTTGGTTTGTATGATCAGTTGAAAAAATCCCTGATGACATCTGAAGAAATCGATGAATTGTGTCACAAAGAAGAGCATGAGAAAAAAATACGAAGAAAAATCGATGAAAAGATTCAGAAAAAAAAATCTGAAGAAATCAAAGAAGAGCTTATGAAAGATAAGTCAGTAGAAGAATCACCAGCCAAAGTCAATTGGGCGTATGATTACCTTTTGAATTGCATCAAAAGTTTAGAAAAAGAAGCTTTGAAGCCTTACGATGCGGCAAACAAACAGGGAGAAAATTCACAAACATGAAAAAAAACTTAACAGTCAAAATTATATAAACATCACAAAATATTTCTTAATCGAAAGCACTTTATGCGTAGTAAATAACACATATTATTCTGAAGTTCATGTACCTAATATCACGTTTTCCTAGACTCGCGCGTGTGATTTCTCTATTTTAACTAAACATGCCACTTGGCAAACACTCTTTTAATTTCTTGAAAATCAGCAAAATGATTTCTTTTAAATATAAATTTAATGCAATATAACTTACTCACCTCTCTTGCACCCAAAACACCTTTTTTAACCCTTAAATGCCCAAGGAGGGAGAAACTCAATGCAAAAATCTGTTCTTTGGTATTTTTCCTTAAAATAACAAGCAATACCAAGTTCAATTAAAAAATTAAAAAAAAAACATTTTTTCTTCCTAAAAAAAATTGTGACAGATTTGTCACATTGGGCATTAAGCACTACTTTGTATATTAAGAAAACTAGAGTTTAAAACTAAAATAATTATATAGTATTAATTAACAAAAGCATGAAATTTGTGAATATAACAAGAGTTTTAATCAATCAATACTTTAATCTGTCAGTATGTAGAAATCTTTATGATTTTATTTATTTGTGTGGTATTCCTTAAAGCAATTTATGTCTTTATTGAAGCAGAGATAAACATTGCATTTGCCACAGACAACATGAGAGCGAAAGGCAGAGCAAATTTTACATCTCTGACGATGTCTGTCATCCCAGGAAGGCATATGATCTATTTTATCAAACCGTATCTCTTCATTTGGTTGAGTGGTTGGTCTTTTTCGAGATGTCGAGGCATTGGAAGATCGTCTTCTTTTTCTTTCCTTTCCTACCTTAATCAATCCCTCTGCAATTGTTGCTTGGAAGTCATGAAGTTTGGTTTGTTTCTTTCCTCTCTGATTTTTTTCTGAAAAAAAGCCATGAATTGACCATAGCCACTGTAAGGGTATGAAACCAAAGGTAAAGATACCATCGCCTTGATCTTATGGAATACTTGTACAATGAGCAAAGCATGTCCATTAAGTCAATGCCCCCCATGAACTTATTGTACTCATCTACAAGCTTTGGCTTGGGAATTTCCACATATTGCTTCCCTTCTTCTCCCATCTCTTTGCAACACCTAATGGTTCTGCTCAACAGTAAGTAGATACCAATGTCACTGCCTTTTTGTCCAGCCATCTGACAATGGTAATTCCTTTTGATGAATCATTTACCTCATCAAAACAGATGTTCCAGTTTTCTCAACACTATAAATGTTAGTTTGCTGACACATGTTTTCAAGCATCTCTTTGTTTACAAACTGTTGAAAAATTGTCAAAGGTGATGGTGGAGGTTCAGGTACAATATACTGATCACCCATAAAAGGCTTTTCAACATGCACATATCTATGTCTTCGCCTTCGATAAACACCCTTTTTTGTCTCATTGTCAGCAAAAGACTTGACTCTTTGAACCAATGGAATGCAATCATCACCATCTGTACTTGTATTTTCTTCATCATTTTCATCTGCACTTGTTACAGAATTACAAAGCAAATCATTGTATCCATCATTATCAGCAATTAGCTGGTATTCATCATCGGATGATTCTTCACTGAAATCAATTTCACTAGTGTTAATATCATCTATTACCTGTCTCTTTCTTATTTATACTCTAGAAATTGAAAAATTAAAAAGTAGTTATGTAGGGAAATAAATGCACCAGCAATTGTGTTGACTAAACATAACCCAAAATCATTCATAATAAAATTATACTAATAGTATTTCAAAATTCTAGCTTAAGACCTACATATATTGTTCAATTTTTTTTAAACTCTATTAAATAACAATTTTCTTAATAATTTAGTTAACTAAACATTCAAAAATAATAAAGAATTCCGTCGGTGTAACAATTGTAATTCCATGTGTCATTAATCAAAATGGCATTCAAATGCCCATTGTGACAAATTTGACACACAACTATTTCCATGTATTTTTTTCGAAAGAAAATATATAATCAAAAAGTCTAAACTAATTTCATAAGCTTGTGAGTCAATTAAAACGATTCAATATATAATATCACAGTAACTTACCTTTTATACAGTGTATTTCTCACATTTTCTTCACACGATTTTCACTTCGCATATTTTAAAAATGACTGCCATGTTGAAATTATTTTTTTCAAGCCCAGTCTTCACAATAAGCATTATCAGCTCATTATTAATATTAACTATGGGTCAAACATAGATATAGTAGGTCTAGATCGCTGACGAGTGTGACGTCATATAAGACTTATTAAGACCAGAGCCCTCTATAGTATAAGAGTTGGGACAAACGGTCTGGGGCGAGCGCGGAGCCGCCATTTTGGTTCCTACTTGCAAAGTGAAACTATAATAATACTATTGGAAATTGGGTTTATATGCAAAAGAAGAAATCAATTTAAGCTTATTTCATGGTAGTATCAAATATATTAGGAATAATAGCAAGCTCTTTGCGTTTTTTTAACGATTTGCGGCAGACCTGATTTAATTTCATTGGTTTGAGCTTCGTTTGCGGTTTACTAGTTCGTGCTTCAAATTGATCGTGACCCATTGTAAGAAGTATTTTTCGTAATTGAACGTGTTTTCTCGGCTTATGTTTCGACTCTGTAACAAGTTTTCAAGATCTTTAAGCTTGGTGGCAAGCGGCAATGTTGTCCTGGCATCAGTGTTATCAAATACTTGGACAAGACTTTCTTCGAAACTTTGAATCATAGTAATCATGCAGATTTGGTCCGGAGAGATTTGTGTTCAGGATTAGTAACAATTTAATAGTAGTGAGTGATGCCCCCAATTTAATCCAAGCATGATATTTTTTATTCTGAAAGATGACAAAATTTTCTTGCTCAGCAGAAAATGACAGACTTTTTTACTTTTTAGTTATTGAAATATGCAATGATTTGACCAAGATGCATTTGACCTTAAACGTTTTATTCCTTTATATGAAGTTATTTCGCCTTTATCACTTTATAAAGTATTAAAGTTTATTTCTAATAAAGTTTGTTAGGGATTCTGCTGAAAATTTTGGTGAAGCATTTCTTTAAAATGAATATATTATTTCTATAATATGAAACATTTCTGTTGTTGAAGAACAGTCTGTTTGCTATAAATGCTACTGTTTGTAGTCTTTTATACAGCATATGAGTCTGATGCAATCTTTAATTTAACAAAGAGTTAAATTTATTGGTTGAGGAATGACAAAACTTCTATATGTGTTTAATGATCAAACAGTGGTGTGTTGGAGGGAGCTCAGCCCCGTTTGTTCAAATTCTATGCCTTGTATTGCCAGTGAAATATATATATCAAAAAGCTAGCAGCACCTAAATATATATCAGAAAGCCGGCAATATTTTAATATATATGAGAAAGGCAGCAACAATTGTAATATACATTAAAAAGCCCAAATAGCTGAAATTATGGAGATATGCCTCTGTGATCTTATAAACTAAAACCTACAATTAAAATATCATCGACAAGTCTAGAAGAGAAGTAATGTTCTACTTTGAGCTACAGAAGTAGGGTACATTTGTACAATTCAATACCAAAAATATATTGTACTCAGCTGTTTTAGTGAATATCCTAATTATAATTACTTCATTTTTAAATGATGAACTAAAAATACAAAATACAACATGGAAAATCATAAGAGTTTCTGTGATTTGGTGTAGTTGTTTTAGCATGGAAGTGGCTGAGAATTGAGAGGTTTGTAGATTGACCAATTTCAGAACATAATGAGAAATCATCTTCGATTAAAAAACAAGCTTTGGAGTAAGAAAACTATTGAAACTGCATCAGCAGGAACTTTTCAATGTTATTTGGCCCAAAAATTTTTCTCTACTTGAGTCCTTTAATTGAACCTTATATCAAAAGCAGTTCAGCACAACAATCACCATACGCAATCAAATTTCGTAAGTTCGACGTAAAGGCATTTCTTTCATTTTTTTCGTAATCCTCGATTTATGCGATATGTAATGACATTTAGTAGCCTTCAACAATCAGTTATTACACACTTATCCATAAAAAAACGCAATATTATCTCAAAATACTGTATTACTAGCAGCAATTGCTATATAAACTAGCTAAAATTTCAAAACTAGGAACCAAAATGGCGGAAACTGATCAGGTGATCAATATTGCCCAATCAACGTAAGCTAAACGGATAACAATAGATGTCCCAACTCTTATACTATAGAGGGCTCTGATTAAGACGGCAGCGTGACATTCATGATAAATCCAAGATGGCGCGGGAACCAGGCAAAAAACTTGGGGCCACTATTAGGCAATTGTTGTTTTTTGCAGTTTACTTCGTTTCAGTGTTTTCAAATTCCTCCAATCAAGTTTTATTGGAAACAAAGCGTTATTAATAATGTTTTGAAGCCATATTGGACAATTATTATTGGAATACGTGCGAAAATATCGCTTGCGAAGTGTTGTGTAAATTGGTCGTTTGGTTGTCTCGAGGCGTTTGTCTACCAAAATAAACGGATTTCTTCTGCTTTAGCTCCCGTATTGGTTCGTCCACGTTGAAATACATCATATTGAATACATACAAAAAGATGGGAAAATTAATCTTCATATTTTTTACATAAATTTCACTGCTATTCGTTCTTTCATTCTTCAAATATGTGTTGGCACTTAACAGACACAGTCTTAATCGTTCCAAAAAAGGATGAGTTTTGTCAGCTCTTGTCGCTTAGATGGCGCTCCTTTACAAACTATTCTCTCGGAGTAGAGTTTGGAGAACTGGTGTACAAATATTTTACTGTACACATATGTAACTGAAAACTGTAACTGTATGGCAATTCTCTTTACACGTAAAATTTCATGTATTGAATGGTAAAATATCCGTAAGTTTTTATCTTCTTTACTTATCTTTGTACATAGGTGTCATAAAATGAACCAATTGAGCAGTATGATACAGTTTTTGTCTCGCAAGTCATTAGTTGTATGTTAACAATGTGATGCAAATTAGACATTCTTAGTTATAAAATTGTATTGGCATTGTAGAAGAAAAACAAATAATAATAGTAACAAGATAATAATAATAATTGCATTTATTTAATAAGGATAACCTCCTCAGTTTAGAAACAACTGGTGTCAAGGATGGTGTTGTACTATAGCATAATAAAAACATATACTATAACAAAGTGTATTGAGGATATAAGTCACATATATTTTATTCACAGGTACATCTTATAATAATCTGGGACATAGCCAGCATTTTTATTTGGTCATGCTATTCTAATGTTGCTGTGTTCACTGACTGTAAAAACAAGAGATTTTTAATGAAATGAACAATGATGCAGTGAAATTTACATAGCAACAGTAAAATATTCAGTCTGGCTATGCCACCGATGACATCTATATCAAATATTTCATAAGATAATATATAAATTCAATAAACACCTTAGCTCTGGTAAAAAAAAAGTACTTTATACAGAGATTTATAACTCTCTCCAAAAATTGTATTGTAACAGTATCTTGAGTTATGCGTTTGAATGTTACTATGTCAGATTTTGAAATAACCAGTAATATAACAAGCTACTGAACATACATATGTTTTCTTCTCTTTCGTATAACAACTTAGCTGTAAGATCTCATCAGTATAGCCAATGAGATAAGGCAAGTTTCCTTCAGTTACGTTTCCCAACATTAACAGCTTTTCTAAGATCTAGTCAGTAAACAATAGTGCTGCAGTGTAATGTATCTCCTTGCTCCCCTCTCCATTCAACGTCGAATGGCCTTGCTAAACTGTGGATGAATCTCACATATCAGTACGAGTACAGTGGGAGTACCTTCGTAAATAAATTGCTTTTTTGTCATAAATGTTCAGATTGATTTTCCCATCTTTCTATAAATTGTCAATATGATATATTTCAATGCGCAACAAACCAGTATGGGAGCTAAAGCTGACAAAATCTGTTTTTTTTAGTGGACGAATGACTCGAGACAACCAAACGACCAATTTACACAAAATTTCGAAAGTGATATTTTCGCCCGTATTTTAATAATAACTGTCCAATATGGCTTCAAAACACTTGCAATAACGATTTGTTTCCAATAAAACTTGATCGGAAGAGTTTGAAAACAATGAGAAGAAGTAAATTGCGAAAAACATCAATTGCCCTATAGTGACTCTATGTTTTTTGCCCGGTTCCCACGCCATCTTGGATTTATCATGGATGTCACGCAATATGGCGGCTCGTCAGTAATCTAGACCTACTATATCTATGGGGTCAAATGTGTCACTAAGCGCATTTTTAAGGCAAAATATAATACAATATGGAAGCACTAGCTCTATAAATATACGTGTCACAAATTTGTCACACGGGGCATTTAAGGGTTAACTTCTGCATTTCTCCTTCATGGATAGAATTCAACCTTGTAAGTTGTTGGTTATTCAATAAATAATAAAATTTAACATCAAAACTCATGGGAAATTATTTACATTCATCTGAGGTATTTGGCAATAAATCAGAAGGGAAAAAAAGAAAGTTGTGAAAACAGAATACGTAAAATGTCTGGAAAATATTTTTCCATCCAGGCGTAAGTACAAAAAAAACATATATCACTATCGTTTTGATTACATGAAGTAATGAACAATTAGTAATCTCTTCCTTGTATTCATTCACCATGCAGACGCTCAATACTGATAGAAAAACGAGAAATTTTATATTATTTACCTTAGACTACTCTTTTTGGTCTAAAATTGTTGTCTTATTTTTGATTTGGTTAGTTTTTGGTTACGTAAGGTCTTTTTTCTGCCGTCGAACTATCTTTCAATGTCAATTATACAAGTATAACCAATTTACCACGTGTTAAGGAATGTCATAAACAGTCAACTGTGGTACCAAGTTACATTGTGAATCTTTTATTCACGACTTTGTTGCTAAAATGCTGGAAGTAATTGTAATTTGGTCATATGAATGGTGCTGTTGTGAATACATTGTCTCCTTACTAAGGTAAGAAGGGAATTTTAATTGTTTCACTTCATTTCATTGATTCCAGATCATTTGGTTTAGAAACAATTGTAATAAACAGTTCTTGGTTTCGATATGTTTTGGTGAGGAAATTGACTATCACCTAAATGAGAAATATCAAGATTCTGAAATCATTAAAGTATTTATATTTAAAGCCAAATTTTTCTTAAATTCCCTATTCTCAATGTATTCCTTGCCTACAAAAGTTTGAGAGTATTTTTAATTTAAGTTATACTTCCATCTTTAACACATGGCTTTAGTAATTTGGAATTTGTGTGGTAAGACATCATAGATGAGATTAAAAGAATTTATGTGAGATGTGATAAGTTTATTTACAGATTGAAATGGAGCATTCCTAACAACCAAATTTTACATTGAAGGTTAACCATGCCAAAACATAAATACCTAGGGACTTCAAGCAGCCTACACGATGTTGTAAACACTAAATTTCTTGGTACTTTGTGGATTAATGTATTTGTCTACCATGAATTGTTTTATTCATGTTTTATTTGCATGAGAGGGGTGTCAGCCTCATAACAAAAGGAAGCCCGCCTAAAAAAGCAAATAACCTATAAACATTGTTACAAATCATCATTAAGTATAAGCAGATAATAAAGTTCGTGCATTAAATATTGACATTAATTGTAAATCTACATGTAAAACAAAATAATTTTGTCATAAGTAAACCACTTACTTGTGGACAAATCAGTACATGTCTTAAATCTTTGAGCAGTTGTATTCCAAGGGTCTTTTCAGTTTTATAACGTCAATTTTTTTCATTAACAACATTGAAGTTTTTGCAATGCTTTCTTATTATTTTGTTATTGAGTTAAATATGTCCTTAGAGAGCTCCAATTTCTTATCTTTCAGTTTAAAAGTCGGACCTGTAGATCGTGACGTGATGACGTTAAACAACCAATCATAATGCGCTTTCTGCTATTGTATGTTATAACCAAGAAAAATGATAAATATGATAGGAGCTTTGGGGGTTTTCTTGCGTCATTTGTGTAAGGTATGTCAAGGATGTATTTACTGGGAGTGTGGAGAAATGTCAATTTCCATGCGAAATTTTAAAGTTATAAAGAACTTTATTCAAAAGCAATTCAAGCGAGATTTTTGTTTGATGCAGCCTACTTCCAAAAAAATCTCTCCATCATGGTATAATAGCGAGAGAATTTTACAAAACAAGACCCCAATACACCCCAAAATAGTCACTAAAATCTAATTCAAACTAGAGCACGCACCCTACTAATTGATCTGTTTTGGATGTAGATACTAGATAGTTCTATTTAAGGTAAAATTTCGGGTTTTTTGTAACTCAATATAAGTTAAATAGTTACAATTGTTCGGCCAATTGTAAATTTAAATAGTGGTATAACTTACCTTTGACAGATGGTTGCGTGTGTGACAAGCAATGAAAAACAGAAATTTGCTCACCTTTGTATTCAATGTCAGAGATTTTTTCTCGAGAGATTTAATTTACACGTAAAGCATATGAAACCATGGACGTAACCAGAAAGTTTTCATAGGGATGCATATTTAAGAGAAACAGACTCGTACTGGCAATTTTATAGTCATTTTTAGTGACGTTAATCTTATGTATGCTACAAATGTCAAATATGCTTTTGAAAGCAGGTATTTATATTTATTTATTCATTTTGTTACTTAAATATAATAATGAAATAGACAAATATGACATTCTTTTATTGGAAATTTTACTGTGTAGTTTACCATGCAGTTCTCGTCCTTTCTTTTATTTGTCGTAAAACAAAGGCACGTGTATTTCACGTTTATCTCCAGCTGCATGAGGTAAATGGAAATTTTGAGATCGACCTTTGGAATATCTTGTGTCGTCGATATTAGCATCTTTATGTTAATTTCAATAGAGCAAATCGAAGTTCAACTCAATTTTGTTATATCGTTACAAAACGGCAAGTTTTAGTAACTGCTGTCGTCATAAGTACATTTATAAATTTTTCTTAGTCAATGACTTTGTTTAAAGCTTTGAACAAAATGCTTTCGTTTTTTTTGTGTTGAATCATATTCCTGGAACTATTTATCATATAATGTAAAGAATATAGGAACCCTGCAGTTTGCTGTAAGCTTTGCGACAACAATAACATTTACGGTGATCCAAATTTCTTTGCGATTTTACCATTAAATTTTCCATTTCTTATTGGCATATTATGGGTTCATCCAGGTCAAAACTAGTGTTAAAAAAAGAAGAAGAACAACTTTTAGAAAAAGCCAGACAATACGTGAAGAAAAACGGACTTGATGATATACGTAGTTTCCACAATGAACTAGAAGCTACATGGGAAAAGTTTGATTTATATTTTGCCGTAATTGGATCAAGCAATTCAGGAAAGTCGTCATTCATCAACAACATAATAGGGTAATTTATTTTTTAATCTTGCTATTGACGATAACTTGAGCAGGATACTAAGGCATGGCTAATTTGTTTTTGCAAAACTTTGAACAGATCTGAAGCATACGAAGAAGTGTCATCACTAAATGACGTATCACCTTCGAGGAAAACGTATCCTCATCCTAAACACCGAAATGTCAAACTCTGTGATCTTCCAGCCATCGGAACACCTGAAAATTCCAATGTTGAAACTTATTGCAGGAACATCGGTGATCTCAAGAAGTACGACGCGTTTCTAATTTGTAGCAAATCCAGGTTTACAAACCATGAGATAGAACTGGTTGAAAAAGTTTCAAAAGAGCTCCAAAGGCCTTTCGTCTGTATTCATACGTATGCACATAAAGACGTTAAGAACTCCGAAGAGGTCGATGGATTACAGATCGACAAAGAAACTGCAATGGAAGAAATAAAGAAATGCTGCTTAAATAACCTTAAAGGTTTTGTAAAAGATGCAACTGATATCTACGTCATCGAAGACAATGACAGGGGAGAATATGATTTGGACTGTCTGCCTGAAGAAGTCATCTTGAAGTTGCTGAAACGTAGAAAAGATTACTTTTTGAATTGCTTGAACCACGTCATTTACAAAAACAAGGAATTAACCGAAGTAGAAAGACGTTTAGCAGAAGCTACGTTTCACGTTAAAAAATATGGCTTAGTTGATGTTGATGAATTTATTCGAAATCAAATTGAATCCTGGGAAAACACAGAAATAAATCTTGCAATTACAGGAGATTCTGGCACTGGAAAATCATCTTTTATTAACTCCATAAGAGGGTAATCATAACTTTCCATTAACAAGGAAATTAGGTGAAATTACAATTGGGATGAAATTGGAATTTATTATAAAGCCCTTCTTGTCATAATCGATTTCCTTTTCTGTCTTATAAGAGCTGCGACATGCCTTTTTATGTTTTCTTTTCACTTGAACATTTATTGGTTTTTACCTGTTTTTTTATATTATGTTAATATTCATTTATTTCTAACACTTTATTTTTGAGGCAGCTTTTTATTATGCAGTGTATTTAATGAAATTTATCATTATCTTCAATGTGTGACAAAAATTTGACATAATATACTTTTTTAGACTCAAAGCTTATGAAAAAGGTGCAGCACCAGTTGATGTTACGGAAGTGAAAATACTGCCCACTGAGTACGTTTATCCTGAAAAAAAAAATGTCAAATTGTGGGATCTTCCTGGCTTTGGATCAAATGAATATTCGAATCCCACAGAATACTTCAAGAAAATGCACTTGGAAAGGTACGACGCAATCCTTATCTTTTGTAAAGCACGATTCACCAATTATGACAGAGAGCTTGCAAAAGAAGTTTCAAAAGAGCTCAAAAAGCCTTTCTTTTTTGTTCGCACCAACATTCATCAAGATCTCATAAACGCCCAGGAAGACAAAGGACCACAGTTTGATGAAACATCCGTCTTGGAAAAAATAAAGAAAGCTTGTTTCGAGAACTTGAAAGGTTTAATTTGTGATGAAAATGATATCTTCCTAATTGATAACGAAGTTACAGAGAAATATGATTTCGATCGTTTGCGCGGAGATCTCGTCTCAAAGTTACTAGAACGTCGAAGTGAAAGTTTCTTACAGTCTTTGAACTATGTAATGTACGGAAAAGACACAACAAGAGAAGATGAAAAACGCATTGCCCAAATTAAGGATTACATTGAACGTCATGGCATTTCTGGTATCGAAGATTTTTATCATCGTCAAATTTGTTCATTGAAAGACACAGAGATAAATCTTGCCGTAACAGGAAATTCTGGAACTGGAAAATCTTCTTTTATCAACGCTGTTAGAGGGTAATTGAAACTAATTTGAAACAATATGACCTCATAGTCAGTCATAAATTAATTAATACAATATAAATATCGTTTTCAGACTTAAAGCTTATGAGGTTGGCGCAGCTCCAGTTGGAACAGAAGAAACAACAATAAAGCCCACTAAATATAAATCCCAGAAACATGAAAACATCATTTTCTGGGATCTACCTGGCATTGGAACACTTACATACCCCAATCTTGAAGAATATTGCTTAAAAATTGGTGGTCTAGAGAAGTACGATGCATTTCTTATTTTTTGCAAAACACGATTCACTCAACATGACAAAGAGTTGGCTGAGAAAATTTCACAAGACATCAAAAAACCTTTCTTTTTCGTTCGCACTAACATTGATACCGAAATCAGAAATGCCAAAGATGACAAAGGACGACATTTCAATGAGAAGTCTGTTTTGGATAAAATGAAGGCATACTGTCTAAACAATCTGAAAGGTCTGATCAACGATAAGAATGAGGTATTCTTGATCGACAACAAAGTCACGGATAAATATGATTTTAATCGTTTGATCGAATCTATCTCAGATGCTTTACCACATCGTAAAATGGAATGCTTTATCCTTTCTATTGACACTGTGACACGAGAAAGCATAAAACGAAAGGCAAATTTGTTGAAAGGTTTGTTAATTATAAGAAATTATCTGCAGTGATGTACCCATGCATAGCCATAAATACATATTTTTATCCATGTATCAAGATTGCTAGAACTGGTTATCTGAATTATATTCTTTATTTACAGAATTTTTAATTCCATCTGCACGATCACTCAATTAAATTTTTTATATGTATATATCTTACGGTTTATTAGTTATCATACCGTTACTTCACAGGTTGTCGGTATTTTTTATGTAGAAGATCTTTACATATATTTCTTAATCCCACCTGCATGTACGGTCGTGCTTGTTCGAATATTAAATATATATATTTTGTATCAATTCTAGCTCGAGCAACAAAACTGGCTGGTGCAAAGTCAAAACGTGTTTCTAAAGATGGACCAGTTTTCAACATAGTTGTGGTTTGGAATGAAGTGAGTTTTTATTGTCACCAGTTTGGTCTTCCTATTGTAGGATCCGATAAATTTAAGGCGTTGAAAAAAAAATCATCGGATGTCATATTGAAGTATAGTTCAATCAATCTAGAAACTCTTGTTAAAGATTATGGTATGAATTCTGATTTTATTACATTTCCCTGGACGGAGACGCTATTAGAGTCATGGTATGGTAGGGTTCATGAGTTTCTTTCAAAATGCATCAACGATCTAGAAAAAGTTGCTCTCAACATTTGGGATGCAACAGTAATAAACAGTCCCATTTGAGCAGAATACATTAACGCTATTACCCAAAACTATTCATTTGCCTTTCAAATCACCACATTTATACCTGTTGGTATAAAATATATCTGGTGGTTTTGAAGAAAATATCAACACTAATTTAAAATTCTTTTATTTGATTATTTTAATAATATTTACAGCACTCGTTAAATATAGGTACATGTACCCGTGCATACATAGCAAATGTTAAAACTTTAACATTTCGTCTTTTCCAAATGTAATTGTATCCACTCCCTTAGTAAAAGCAACAGGAATACACAATTACTTTTACAAAATAATTTTTAACATAATTTTGTTGTCTCTTACAAACAGAATCTTTATGATATTTACATTTCACTGTATTGATTACTTTATTATGATGTAAAATGCAAATATTTCTAATTATATAAATATGTTATAAAACTGTTCTTTTTCTCTAAACCTGAAGAAATGTTATGCTGAATAGTTCTTACTATAATGTTGTAGAAAAAAACATAAATGTCTTATTCTTAAAAGTTGAACCAGCTAGCCGACAATTTTGTGTAGTACATTATGAAACATACTCCAAATAAAAAATTCATGTTTAACTCAATATTTGAGAAGGAAACAAGACAATTTTCATTTGAGTAGTTATATTTTGAATTTATTGCAAATTCATCATCGCACTATACTTTAACGAACTCTATTTATTATATATTTCTCTAGTCATTTTTTGACAGAGATTCTTTATCTAAAATTAGTTACGTTTTAAGTGGAGAAACGAAATAGCTGAAGCCACTCAAGTTATGTCGACTCAATTGAGTTGCTACACTATTTACCGAGCCACGTAAGGTTTTACGTTTTTTTCTATCGAAAAATTGAACAGAAGTTCAGATTATTGTTATTGATATATACTGATTTGAATAATAATGCAATGTTCAAAGGTCAATTTTGACGTCTTGCATGATTAGGTAACTTTTGTCTAATAACAAATTACCTTACATTACTTTATCCCTCATTCTCTACAGTGAAGTTATTTACAATATTTGATGTTGCAATGATGCATTTTACTGTTTGGTAAACTCCTGAATGTAGAAGTAGGCCAGAATCAAATTTACTTTATTTAATGCAATATGATTTACATAAGCCCCGTTCTCAATTTTATTGATACATAAAATCAAAGATGCTATAACAATGTTTATGTGACAATAGCATGTGATAAATTTGGCCTACAATTTTAACTGATGTTTATCTTAACAACCTTGCATGTCACTGGCAAAAGACCAATATCATTTAAAGTGGTGACATGATTGCAGTAATTTACTGCTTTCCTTTTTTCTGCTATGCAATTCATCTTATATACTTCAAATATTAATGTGTCGATTTTTGTCAAAAATAGTATAAATAAAATTCTTTCGTTTCTTATGCATTAAATCACTCCAGGAAGGAAATACCATTATTTGAATAGAGACGACATCCCGCTGTTGCTTTTTACCGACTGCTGGCAAGAAAACAACATTCCAATAGTCAATAATCTAGTTCAACGTCTCATATTTAAAACCCGTTTTAATTTCGATCAGATCAAACTATCCTTATGCCTGCAAAGTCCTCAAAAAGAAAGTTTAAATTCGCAAAAAATGACGAAAAGTTTTTAAATGAAGCTAAAGAAAAAGTTAAGAAAGATGGGCTTGATGGCATAAGTGATTGGTATATACGCCAAATCAAGAAATGGGAAAAGAATGAAAAGGTGTTTGCTTTCATCGGATCAAACAAATCAGGAAACTTCTTAATCGAGGCTCTTACACCGTAAGTTATTGCTGGTTTGTTTTACGATATAAATTTTCTACATAGGTGACACGTATAAATTATATTTTACAGATTGCGTCGTTTGCTTCAATCAGTTAAATGAATTTTGTAAAATGGTTTCAAACCAATAAAATCTAATAAATAAAGAATTAACAGATGTAAAGTCCGCAAAAATACGTATAACTACTTATTTATAAGCCACAACATCGTTATTTGTCTTGAACAGATTTCGCCTTCTCGCAATTTATGATTAACTGTGCTTTAAAAATTGTCCATATCGTACGTAATGTTTCAGTATAATATAGAAGTTCTCAAAATCATGGATGGAAAAAGAACTATGTGAATATTTTCAAAATTAAAATGACACGTCACAACAAATTTGATTTAGTTGAAATATTAATTATTAAAGAAATATAAGAGCTACATACTTCATTACATTTGAAAGACTTTAATTTTTAAAGAAATAAAAATCGATATAACAGCTTTGCGGATGTTTGAAGAAACAAAAACACCACATTTTGAGCTAAAATTTTTTGAGTTGAATTTATATGAACATATTGATTTGTTATTTAAATTTCAAGCGGCTTTCAAATTGATTATATTAAAATGTAAATGCGATGGAACAAACAGCTTCATCAAACATTTGTGTTATAATGGCTGAAGGCTTTAAGCCAGCTCATTGTATACTGACTGGATCCCATTTAGTTTATAGTAAAATACCAAATGTATATTTTATAGACGCATCTCTGACAAAGATCCTGAAATCAAATTCAAGAATTTAAGATCAAATTCGACTTCAACGAAGCCTAGATTTAGGAAGTTGGATACATTTCTTATATTTGTTAAATCAAGACCTAAGAAAGAGAGGGCAATTGCCAAGAAAATTTTAAAAAAGCATGGAAAGCCGGTCATTTTCATCTTTGCACACACTAATGTAGACAAAGATAAGGATAGAAAAGAAAACGTTAAAGATTTGGTAAAGGATGAGTCAGATATTTACGTAATTGACAAAGAGGATAATTCCAAACACGACTTTAATCGTCTGCTTGGAGATATCGAGTCGAAGTTGTTGAAACGTCGAAGAGATTTGTTTCTGCAATCTTTAAATGAGGCCGTTTTCTTAAACACCAAGAAAAAGAGGAACTCTTTAAACAAGCTCAGAAACACGGTGTTGATAATATTCTGGAATTTTACAGCAAGGATTTAATTTCATTGTGGATAGACACAGAGATAAATTTTGCTATAACAGGAAATTCCGGAACAGGAAAATCATCTTTCATCAACGCTGTGAGAGGGTAACACATTTATTGCCTGCTCAAAATTAAAAATAATTTCTATTGAATGAGTTGATTCAGTGAAACAAATAATAAAAAAGCTCATTGAAGAAAATTATAAAGATCAAGAAAATAATCGTTTATTAAATACCTCAAATATTTAATTAGCTTGAAGCACAAATGAGGAGAATAAAATCCTGTGCAAACCATTTATTGCCTGTGTTCTTACAAATAATAAACGTAATTACATTAAGCTATACCACTAATTGTTGATTGTCTGAGAACATATCTTTTCTTTCAGTATCAAAGCTAGTGAAAAAAAAGAAGCAGCACTAGCTGGTGTAACAGAATCAACTTCAGTTCCCAATAAATATGTTCATTCAAATAATGAAAACATCATTTTCTGGGATCTACCTAGCATTGAAACACCTACATACCCCAATCTTGAAGAATATTGTACAAGAGTTGGTGGTCTAGAGAAGTACGATGCATTTCTCATTTTTTGCAAATCGCGATTCACTCAACATGAGAAACAACTGGCTGAGAATGTTTCAAAAGAGCTCGACAAACCTTTCTTTTTTGTTCGTACCAACGTTGACACCGAACTCAAAAATGCGAAAGATGACGAAGGACCAAAGTTTGATGAAGCATCTGTCATGAAACGTACGAGGGAAAATTGTTTGAAAAATCTGGAAGGTTTGATTCACGATGAGAAAGATATCTTCTTGATTGACAATAAGGTTACAGAGAAATATGATTTTCAACGTTTGAAGGAATCGATTGCTAAAGCGTTACCCGAGGAAAAATAAGAGAGTTTTGTTGCTTCCTTGGAAAAGTCTACACATGCAATAAAAAGAATTAAGGCCAACTTTTTGAGAGGTATATTCAGTTTTAAATGATATCTGCAGTAGCTAAAAGAGTTTAGTATTTCATGGCATTATAAATTACAAAACTTCATGAGAAAGTCATGAATGCATTGCATTTTCTATCAAATGCAAACAGTTAGATTCTGCTATTCGCTTTAGTTACTTTACACAGGAAACTAACAACAATATCAGCATACCACAAGAAATATTTGATCAGATATTTTAATTTGACAAAAAATAATGTAGATAATAATGGTCGAAATTTCATTCCGGATCGAAATTTTGTTTTAACCTCATGTAAACGCGAATTGAGTTTCATTTTGGAATGAGATTGTGATTAATGACGAAGCACGCATATGCCATGCTCAGCTTCGCTTCGGCAGATAACATTGACCTTGGTCTGAATAATTCTTGATATCATTCTCAACCTCAACCAATAATTGCTTATTATCTGTTTATAGTTGTAATTTCTATCATATTTTTATAAATATTTCAGGTCAAATACAAATGGTGATTGTTTTGTTTGTAATTGCTGAATCTAATCCTGAAGTTTTTGTGGAACTGATATCGATGGAAGTCATTCGATATCATCACGTATTTGGTTTGTATGATCAGTTGAAAAAATCCCTGATGACACCTGAAGAAATAGATGAATTGTATCACAAAGAAGAAGAGCATGAGAAAAAAATACGAAGAAAAATCGATGAAAAGATTCAGAAAAAGAAATCTGAAGAAATCAAAGAAGAGCTTATGAAAGATAAGTCAGTAGAAGAATCACCAGCCAAAGTCAAATGGGCGTATGATTATCTTTTGAATTGCATCAAAAGTTTAGAAAAAAAAGCTTTGAAGCCTTACGATGCGGCAAACAAAGAGGGGGAAAATTCACAAACATGAAAAAAACTTAACAGTCAAAATTATATAAACATCACAAAATATTTCTTAATCGAAAGCACTTTATGCGTAGTAAATAACACATATTATTCTGAAGTTCAAGTACCTAATATCACGTTTCTCGAGACTCGCGCGTGTAATTTCTCTAATTTAACTAAACATGCCACTTGGCAAACACTCTTTTAATTTCTTAAAAATCAGCAAAATGATTTCTTTTAAATAAAAATTTAATGCAATATAACTTACTCACCACTCTTGCACCCAAAACACTTTTTTTAAATTCTGCATTTCTCCTTCATGGATAGAATTCAACCTTGTAAGTTGTTGGTTATTTAATAAATAATAAAATTTAACATCAAAACTCATAAGAACTTATTTTTATACATCTGAGGTATTTGGCAATAAATCAGAAGGGAAAAAAGAAAGTTGTGACAACAGAATACGTAAAATGTCTGGATAATATTTTTCCATCCAGGCGTAAGTACAAAATAACACATATATCACTATCGTTTTGATTACATGAAGTAATTATTCAATTAGTAATCTCTTCCTTGTATTTATTCACTATGCAGACGCTCAATACTGATAGAAAAACGAGAAATTTTATATTATTTACCTTAGACTACTCTTTTTGGTCTAAAATTGTTGTCTTATTTTTGATTTGTTTAGTTTTTGGTTACGTAAGGTCTTTTTTCTGCCGTCGAAGTATCTTTCAATGTCAATTATACAAGTATAACCAATTTAACACGTGTTAAGGAATGTCATAAACTGTCAACTGTGGTACCAAGTTACATTGTGAAGCTTGTATTCACGACTTTGTTGCTAAAATGCTGGAAATAATTGTAATGAGGTCATATAAATGGTGGTGTTGGGAATATATTGACTCCTTATCAAGGTAAGAAGGGAATTTTAATTGTTTCGTTTCATTCCATTGATTCCAGATCATTTGGTTTGGTGAGGAAATTTTTCGTTTCAAAACTAAACAGTTTTTGGTTTCGACATGTTTTGGTGAGGAAATTGGCTATCACCTAAATGAGAAATATCAAAGATTCTGAAATCATTAAAGTATTTATATTTAATAGCCAAAGCCAAATTTTTCTTAAATTCCCTATTCTCCATGTATTCCTTGCCTACAAAAGTTTGAGAGTATTTTCAATTTAAGTTATACTTCCATCTTTAACACATGGCTTTAGTAATTTGGAGTTTGTGTGATAAGACATCATAGATGAGATTGAAAGAATTTATGTGAAATGTGATAAATTTATTTACTGATTGAAATGGAGCATTCCTAAGAATCCTAACAACCAAATTTTACGTTGAAGGTTAACCATGCCCAAATCTAAATACCTAGGGACTTCAAGCAGCTAGGTTACATGATGTTCTAAACACTAAATTTCTTGGTACTTTGTGGATTAATGTATTTGTCTACCATGAATTGTTTTATTCATGTTTTATTTGCATGAGAGGGGTGTCAGCCTCATAACAAAAGGGAGCCTGCTTAAAAAAAACAAATAATTCATAAACATTGTTACAAATCATCATTAAGTATAAGCAGATAATAAAGTTCCTGCATTAAATGTTGACATTAATTATAAATCTACATCTAAAACAAAATAATTTTGTCATAAGTAAACCACTTACTTGTGGACGAATCAGTATATGTCTTAAATCTTTGAGCAGTTGTATTCCAATGGTCATTTCAGTTTTATAACTTCAATTTTTTTCATTAACAACTATGAAGTTTTTGCAATGCTTGCTTATTATTTTGTTATTGAGTTAAATATGTCCTTAAACAGCTCCAATTTCTTATCTTTCAGTTTAAAAGTTGGACCTGTAGATCGTGACGTGATGACGTTAAACAACCAATAATAATGCGCTTTCTGCTATTGTATGTTATAACCAAGAAAATAATGAACATCATGGGAGCTTTGGAGGTTTTCTTGCTTCATTTGTGTAAGGTATGTTAAGGCTGTATTTACTGGGAGTGTGGAGAGATGTCAATTTCCATGCAAAATTTTAATGTTATAAAGAACTTTATTCAAAAGCAATTCAAGCGAGATTTTCGTTTCATGCAGCCTACTTCCAAAAAAATCTCTCCATCATGTTTTAATAGCGACAGAATTTTACAAAACAAGACCCCAATACACCCAAAAATAGTCACTAAAATCTAATTGAAACTAGAGCACGCACCCTACTAAATGATCTGTTTTGGATGTAGATACTAGATAGTTCTATTTAAGGTAAAATTTCGGGTTTTTTGTAACTCAATATGAGTTAAATAGTTACAATTGTTCGGCCAATTGTAAATTTAAATAGTGCTTTAACTTACCTTTGACAGATGGTTGCGTGCGCGACAAAGCAATGAAAAACAGAAATTTGCTCACCTTTATATTCAATGTCAGAGATTTTTTCTCCAGAGATTTAATTTACACGTAAAGCATATGAAACCAAGGACGTAACCTTAAAGTTTTCAGGGGGGTGCATATTTAAGAAAAACGGATTCGTACTGGCGACTTCATGGTCATTTTTAGTGACGTTAATGTTATGTATGCTACAAATGTCTATTATGTTTTTGAAAGCATGTATTTAAATTTATTTATTCATTATGTTACTGAAACATAATAATGAAATATAGACACATTTAATATAAACGACAACTTTTTTGAAAATAGACATGTTTCGACATCTCATGATGCCATCTTCAGTATGAGTGAAATAATAGGTGATACAGGGTTTATATAAAAGTAATATGATACATAAATTACAACAATTAAAAAGAAATAAGATAATATAATGAGGAGCGTCCGAGCGTATTATAAACTAAATATTGTATTGAATTTAAAAACTTGAACATTGAGGTCAGGGTTAGTTTTGTTAATGTGGAATGCTTCTTTGATTTTAAGGGTGAATGAGGTGTCGGCAGTGTCGATGATTTTGAAACAAGAGGGTGAATAGTTGGTTTTGCATGAGTGAGATTTAAGAAGGTGTCGGTAGATGTGAGAGTTTTTGTCTGTTGTGGTATGTTCCCTGATTCTGGTGGATAAATGGCTCGAAGTTTCGCCAATGTATCGGGAATTACATCCCGCGCAATTGAATTCATATACCACCATAGATTTAATTGAATCAGGGATTGGGTCTTTAAATGAGAAAAGGTTTTTGATTTTGAATGATGTGAAAATTAGTCGAATGTCAATATCTGTACAGAAGCGTTTCATAATGTTTGTAAGTCTGCGTTGTGTGTGTCGTGAGTAATGTCCGATGTATGGTAGTTTGAAGTATAGAGTTGTTATTTTGGAATTTTCATTTGTGTTGGTTGTGATCGTCGTGTCAGGAGTTTCGGTGTCTAGGTTGAGGTTGTTGCTATGTTTGTTGTCGAGATATCGTTTTACGGTTCTGTTAATAAAGTGTAGTGGGAAAGAGTTTCGTAAAAGAGTGGATGTGATGTTTTTATGTCTCGTTGAAAGCCATTGTTCGTATTGTTAAGTTTGTATGCTCTGTCGATTAGTGTGCGTATAAGTCCGGTTTTGTATGAAAGTGGTGTGAAACTAAAATAGTTCGTCAGAAGTCCTGTGTACGTTGGTTTGTGGTATGTAGATGTTGTACAGCTGTCGTGAGATTTTGCTTATAAAATGTCAAGAAATGGCAGTTGATCTTGTTGTTCAGTTTCAAAGGAAAATCTAATGTTTGCCTGCTGTGTGTTAATGTAATTATAAAACTTTATGGCCTCATTTTCGTTAGTAAAAACACAAAAAATATCGTCAACGTATCTACGGTAAAATAGTGGTTTAGTGTCGTTGTAGTTGTTTAGCTAGTATGTATCATATTACTTTTATATAAACCTTGTATCACCTATTATTTCATTCATACTGAAGATGGCATCATGAGATGTCGAAACATGTCTATTTTCAAAAAAGTTGTCGTTTATATTAAATGTGTATTGGCAACAGTGCTTTTACGAAATTATGGAAATATAGACAGATATGACATTCTTTTATTGGAAATTCTGCGGCTTAGTTTACCATGCAGTTCTCGTCCATTCTTTTATTTGTCGTAAAACACAGGCACGTGTATTTCACGTTCATTTCAAACTACATGAGGTAAATGCAAATCTTGAGATCGACCTTTGGAACATCTTGTGTCGTCGATATTAGCATCTTTACGTTAATTTCAATGGAGCAAATCGAAGCTCCACTCAATTTTGTTATATCGTTACAAAACGGCAAGTCTTAGTAACTGCTGTCGTCATAAGTACATTTATAATTTTTTCTTAGTCGATGACTTTAATTAAAGCTTTGAACAAAATGCTTTCGTTTTTTTGTATTGAATTATATTCCTGGAACTATTTATCATATAATGTAAAGAATATAGGAACCCTGCAGTTTGCTATAAGCTTTTCGACAACAACAACATTTACGGTGTTCCAAATTTCTTTGCAATTTTACCATTAAATTTTCCATTTCCTATTGGTTTATTATGGGTTCATCCTGGTCAAAACTAGTGTTAAAAAAAGAAGAAGAAGAACTTTTAGAGAAAGCCAGACAATATGTGAAGAAAAAAGGACTTGATGGTATACGTAGTTTCCGCAATGAACTAGAAGCTACATGGGAGAGGTTTGAGTTATATTTTGCCGTAATTGGATCAAGCAATTCAGGAAAGTCGTTATTCATCAACAACATAATACGGTAAGTCATTTTTTAATCTTGCTATTGACGATAACTTGAGAAGGATACTAAGGCTTGGCTAATTTGTTTTTGCAAAACTTTTAACAGATTTGAAGCATACGAAGAAGTGTCATCACTAAATGACGTATCACCTTCGAGGAAAACGTATCCTCATCCTAAATACCAAAATGTCAAACTCTGTGATCTACCAGGCATCGGAACACCTGAAAATCCCAATGTTGAAACATATTGCAGGAATATCGGTGATCTCAAGAAGTACGACGCGTTTCTAATTTTTAGCAAATCCAGTTTCACAGACCATGAGATAGAACTGGTTAAAAAAGTTTCAAAAGAGCTCCAAAGGCCTTTCGTCTGTATTCATACGCATGAGCATGTCGATGTAACGAATGACGAAGACCTCAATAGATCGCGGCTCTATGGAGCCACTTCATTATATGAAATAAAGGAAGACTGCTTTGACAAGCTGAAAGGTTTGGTAAAAGATACAAGTGATATCTACATAATTGACAACAATGATCCAGAAAAATATGACTTTGACAGTCTACGCGACGATGTCATTTTAAAGTTGCTTAAACGTCGTAAAGAGTATTTCTTGAATTGCTTGAACGGTGTCATTTACGGTAACAAGGATGTAAGCGAACAAGAAAAACGTCTAGAAGAAGCAAAGTTTCACGTTGGTAAACATGGTTTGACTGATGTTGATGATTTTATTCAAGATCAAATTGAATCGTGGAGAAACATGGATGTACACATTGCCATAACAGGAGGTTCTGGAACAGGGAAATCATCTTTCATCAACGCTGTGCGAGGGTAACTACCTCCTTTTTTAAATTACAATGATACTTTGCAAATCTTTTATAAAGGTAATTTTCGTTTTGAAGCTCACAAAGTAAGAAAATTGTTATGTCTTCTTTGTACCTTACTGTTGCATGTTTTCACTTTTACTTTGTCACACTTTGTTCATCAACGTATGATAACATAATATACATTTAACATAATATATTTTTTTAGACTTAAACCTTATGAAAAGGGTGCAGCACCAGTTAATGTTACAGTTGATGAAACAGGGCCCACTGAATATTCTCATCCTGAAAATGAAAACATCAAACTCTGGGATCTACCTGCTATTGGAACACCTAAATATCTCAATATTGAAGAATATTGCAAGATTGAGGGTGGTCTTAAGAAGTATGACGCTTTTCTTATTTTTTCCAAATCCCGGTTCACTCAAAATGACAAAGAACTGGTTAAGAAAGTTTCAAAAGACCTCGGCAAGCATTTCTTCTTCGTTCGCACCAATGTTGACACCGAACTCAAATATGCGGAAGAGGACGAAGGACCAAAGTTCGATGAAGCATCTTTCTTGGAAAAAATAAAGAAAAATTGTTTCAGAAACCTGAAAGACTTAATTCATAGCGAAAAAGATATCTACATGATTGACAACAAGTTTCCAGAAAAATATGATTTCAATCGTTTGCATGAAGATATCATTTCAAAGTTGCAAGAACGTCGAAATGAACGCTTTCTAAAGTCTTTGAACGACGTTATTTACAAAAATTAAGTCAATGAACAAAGATGATCATTCTGATTAGGTAATTTCGACATCACACAAACCTTAATATTTCTGAAATCAATAAGGATGAGCGAAAACTGTATGATTGTTTTTTAATAGGTTTTTTAATATAGCCATGTATGCATGAATGAAAGGCAAGACTTGTGTTACAAGGATGAAAGTTTTCTTCAGAACAGAAGCTGTATATACTCAAACCTTGCCAATTAATAGTATACAGCACTATATTTATATGAACAAACAATTTTATTTTGCGATTTTGGTTTCTAACTATCCGACCTTAAATATGTATGTTAACTTTTTATTTTTATTTTCGTCTATTCTTTTACACATATACTTACAGTCTGCTTTACATAAAGGTTAGTTTATTCAATGTTTTTGCACACGATGAAACTGTTCTCCGTGCACTGGCAAAGGCATTCTTCTTGAAGACTGAAGTTGGATCATCTTGGTAAGCGCGATGAAGTCTGTGCCTAAATCTCCTCATCATTCTCATCAAACCAATCATGCTGATGTCGGGTAAGGTAGCCCAACACTTGCACTGCAGTGGAGTGAACTGTGTCCCTAAGGGATTCCCAGTCTTCTTCGACGTTACCTCCAGGATTGAAGTTGGCAATTTATGATTCTAGGTCTGTGGATAGAGCTGCACTTGTTTGATGGTTTTTCAGCTTGGCAACATTTATCCTCTTTTTGGTCATGCGTCCCTGTGGACGTCTCTTTGGTTTGATGCGGATGTTCATTTTAGAGATGATGAGTCTGTGGTCGGTCCAGCACTCTGCACCGCACATGGCCTAGGTAATTCTGACATCCTGCCTGTCTTTCTTCCTGAAAATGATGTAGTCGATGAGATGCTAGTGTTTCGACCGGGGTGCATCCATGATGTCTTGTTCCTGTTGGGCAGCCGGAATATTGTGTTGGTTATAAGGAGACCATACGATGAGCTTAACTCCAGCAGGCGCAGGCCATTGCAGTTGCACTTGCCTACCCCACTCTTTCCAATGACTCCATCCCAGGCAGAATCACGGCCTACCCTTGCGTTAAAATCCCCTAGTAGGATCAGCTTATCAGTACTGCGCACGGATGAAAGCATAGTATCCAGATCTTCGTAGAATCTTTCTTTCACATCTTCAGGATTTGTCAATGTAGGTGCGTAGGCACTGATGAGTGTGGCCCGTTTACCATCTTGTAGATGAATCTGCATTGACATGAGACGATCTTTTGTACCTTTAGGGAGATTGGCGAGCTTTTGGACAAGATGGTTCCTGATGGCAAAACCTGCCCCAGACTCCCGGCGCTCATCGGCAGAACGGCCACTCCAGAAGAAAGTGTAGCCACCTCCATATTCAGTCAGCTGCCCCTCATTAGCGAAACGAGTCTCACTCAGTGCTGCAATGTCGATTTTATATCTTGCACGTTCTCTGGCAACTAAAGCAGTCCTCCTCTCTGGTCTGTCTGTTGAAGGGTTGTCAAGTAATGTACGCACATTCCATGTGCCTAAGGTGATCGGTGTCACCTTAAATTTTTTCTTTCCTTTATTTCGACCGCTGGTGTGGGATTCCCACCAACTACGGCTTGCTGGCCAGGATGAAGGTTGAAGCAGGCTTTTTTTAGAACACCTTTTCTAGTCCCTTCCTCATGTGAGGTGAGCAGTGCATCCCTAAAGAGGGCTGCTCAGACACCCAGGTAGACGCCGAGTTCACTGGTGCTTCAGTCAGTACGAAAGCGACCATTAGACCTGGGCCGCCTGTGTGCAGGTCTGCAACTACAGCTCCCAGTCTATCCACATCGCTCGCCCATCGCCACAGGGCTTAAGACGTAGCTTCTAGGTTAGGGGGTGTTGTCAAGACGTATGCAAGAATTTATTATAGTGAGGAGAAGCTGGCAGACGTCAACCTCATTCTTCTCTGAAATCACATGGATCCAGTGGCAAGACAGTGTCGAGATGACTGGTGGTGACCTCAGATGCAGGAGTATTCGGTTACTGCTAGATGTAATGCAGTCCATCAACGAAGCTCCACCCGGAACCAGACAAGGATAGTTTGGGAGAGCAAAGTACCAAAACGGAACAAGATGAATGGAGGATGAAGGCAGCACAATGGCGAGTCATGGCAGAGAGACCCTGGGACCAACAAATCTACCAGAAGAGACAGCACCTGGTCTAACCGCACTGTTCTCCAGCAGTTTAAGGAACAAGATGCTCTTGAGAGACCAGGTATCTAACCTACAACGGCCATGAGTCGCCATGTGTTACCTTTGATATTTTGGCAATGCTGTCAACCTCTCAAAGATGGTTGGATGAGATAACTTCTCAGAGATGGAAAGATGAGATCACTTTGTCTGGGCACGTCGCTGGCAGTACTGTCTACGGCATTACAGATAGCAAATGTTGATTATTATGATGATCAATCAAATGGCCAGACAATATGACCTGATTAAGGAATGCATGAAATGCCTATGATTGTGGGCGTACTACCCAGGGGACTTTGTTGTGCAAACAAAGCCAGTCTGGCATTCTTTGCAGGAAATTATCGTTAATTTCAGTTCATTTAAGAATAAAAACGTTCCAACCGCCCCCATAAAAATTTTGGCCAGCACGCCCGTGCCTATGATCTTCATGTCATGAAATGTTACGATTTATAGTATGAACTTAAAAATTCTGGACTGTGTACAACACTTGAGATAAAGCCTGTTACAAGCTTTACTTATTACACAGCATAAACTTATTTTTCTTCATTTTCATCGAAATATCTTAGCTTTTGGAGTCCCTGTAAATTACAATGTGGCAAAACATCGGCAACTTAGTATAAAGAATCTTTTAAAAATAGTGATTTGTCAAATTTGAATTTCGTGATATGTTGACTTTGGCATTTGTTTGACTTTTGAAAAATTTTTCTCTTGAATTATTCAAACCAAGCAAGCATTTGGAAGGAATCATTTCAGATATTTATTTCAAAGAGGTGTAAATGATATTTTTGCATAAATAATACAATTATTTTATTCATAAAATATTAAATACTTCCAGCAACTATTTAACATATAATAACTGGAGACAAAACACGTTGTTGCATTTCGCTGGGTTGAGGACAAAGTTATTATTGAAAGGTTTGTGGTTTAGTTGAAACAGTTCTTTTCTATGTGTTTGACTTTTCTTTTGGTTCATTCCTTTACATATTGCTTAACAAAATGTCTTTTCCTATTTCTGTTGATACCTTTTTTGACTTAAATAAAGACTCCATAAAATGCCATAGCAATCTTCTTGTCGTAAAATATTTAAAATTTTAAAATATGGACTTAGAAATTCATTTCATGTACATTCCGCAAACTATTTAGCATATCATTAAAAAAACAAAACCCTGCATGATGTTACCTTTTTTAGACTTATAACAAAAACAATATTTAAGCAATCGATACGTTTGTCTTGTGTTGAGTATTAAGAAGTCCCTTTATATTTCATATCAGTCTTTCACCATGGGTTGCTCTACCTCAAAATCAACGTTGGAAGAAGTAGAAGAAATTCTTTTAAATGAGACCGAACAAAATGTGAAGAAATCTGAAAGTGAGAAGAAATCTGAACCTCGCGATATAAGTGCTTTATACGATCAACAAATCAAGGAATAGAATAAGTTTGAATTAAATTTTGCTTTGATTGGATCAAGTAGATCAGAAAAATCTTCTTTTTTGAATCGTCTCTCGTGGTAAGATTATGTTAATAACGATTATATTGCCTAATGGTGTAATACGATACAATGATGCGTGTTAGAGAAAATATGAAAAATTATCATACAAACATGAAAACTTAAGCGTTAAGATCAGTGTGATTTTATTAATGTGAACTGCTTTTGAAATTTTCTTTGGTGTAAATGATTTCAAAACAAGGTAGTGATGTCTTATTTAATGTCTTTAATCCCAAAAGTCTACGAAGTTAACCATATCGTACGCTAGCCAGTGAACGCGAGTCACATTCATAACTTGATTATAATATTTTTATTATAATTTCTTCATAATAGTTAAATAACTTAATCATAATTTCCATGTTTGAGAAATTGCCAGCTGCACCATTGAATGTTGTATTAAATCATTACGGGATAATGCAAGCAATCGTGACTGGTAGTTTTAAAAACAAAGATTGTTCATCATATGTGTTGACATTGGATGCAGTCAACTAGATCAAAGATGATTAATTCATAACCAGTTTGTACTAAAACCAACAAATCAAATTACATAAGATATTAATGGAAGAACTACAAACAATATGAATAAATTTCAATTCACTGATGACATGGGACCCAGATAGCATACCAGCTTGACATTTTGTGCAGTATTTATGATTGAAGTTGCTTTATCGTCATAAAAACATAGAAGGTACCACTCATAGAAACATTAGCAAAGCAAACATAGGAGTGCAAGGGGGGTGCTGCAGCACCCCTAATTTTGAGCGAAAAGAGTAACGTCGTGCAAATTCTACTCAAACGTCGGGCAATATTTAGTCTTTTGTGGACAAAACAGTAAACAAAATAATCACTTTAATCAACAAAAACTAATTTTAATAAGCAAATAGAAAGAAATTTTATTACAGGGCAAATTCTCTTTGACGTTTTTTTTTGCTATTTATTTTGATAAAGCTGTATAATATAAGCATTTGCGCGTAGCCGAAATATGTAAAAAAAAGTATTTTTATCTAAACTATATTTGGGGTGCAGTAACATTTTTGCTTTAAAATTTTCCTGGCAATATTTGTCATCCGTCATTACGTCTTACTGCCTTTCACATTTAAATTGAATTAAATATATATTAGTGGAATAATTTGACGATTTAACGTCGTATGACAACAAAAAACTATACGAAGACAAATATTCAAAGCAAGTAAATTAAAAAAGGGCTGTGTTTTTCACTTTATATGAATTTTTTTCTATGGTTAAATTTTAACACGATAACATTGTCATCAGCAAATAACGTAAAAGGGAAAATAACACAATCTTTTATCAAAATAATATTGTCTTTTATTAAGCGTCTGAACTTTAAAGCGTCATTTTTCTTCTGCTAATTCTATTTGTGGGCAAAAGAACAGCATTCCATCACTGAGCCCTTTTTCAGGAAACTGTCATGTAAACTTTGTAAAGGTCTCTTTAATGTTTGAGACCAGGGTGATCATGAACATCCAGTAGGGTAGGATACCTTATGTTGCACAGAAATGCAAAAACATTGAAATTGAAAGCATGGAGAAGTTTACAAATTGTACGCCATATTTACATTTCCCACGTGTTATCCTTTGGTAACTTTTTTGATAATCAATTGACGAGTTCGTACTGATCTCATTTGTATGATGTTTGACTAATGAATTCATAGTCACACACTAAATTATTTGACAAATGTTTTTAACCATCCATGGACTTCTATACATTATTTGCAATAAATTATAGCTTTTTTCGTTCTTACATGCATTGTTTTTGCCGCATTGTGCAAAATTACCATTTAGAAAAGAGTAGCAATCGATGTCTTTTAAGCTTATGATAAATTGACAGAATATGTTATCCACAAATAGCTAAGTACGGTACGATATCAGTTAGTAAAAGTTAAAATACTCAATCAATGAATACACAAACATGAAGTATTAAAACAGTTTAGCGATCTTATTGACTTTATTAATATGTTTTATATAAGCAATCCAGGCATACACTGTTTTTTGTATCAATGAAATTCATGTTTGTCCGTGTTTATCGGGCAAGAAAGTGTCAGTACCTCTTTTTTTGCCCCTTACGCCCATGAAAGCAAAAACTAATAATTGACTTTAATGAACATTTTCGTCTCATTTTTCTTTCTCATATTATAAGATTTTGTATTTCAGATGATCTGTAAAGCATAAAGTAACTAATTGACATTAATACCTAACGGCTTCAATATCATGCACATCTCATGACTTTATTGCATAATTTGTTTGTGGACTAAAGACACATATGAAAATGGCTTAACAGAAATAGTGATTGACTGCATTAAAGCAGATAAATTAATCATTGTTTACGAAAGACAAATTTATGTTGTAGTCTTTACATTTTGCTAAAAGCATGCATGAACGAACATACAAAATGAACGCCTGTTTCATCAAGTCTACGAACCTCAGGAAACCAAATTTGGTCCATGACTTTTTGTGTTAGTGTTGAAGTACGTAAATGCTATAAAATTTGTGGACTAAGGCAAAAGAACTTCCCAAACAGTGTTCAAGATACAGAAAACCACTTTACTAGAACATTTCAAGTTAATAAATTGTGTTTCATTAAAAATAATTGTAGACATCGGTGTAGAACTCAAGCATCCTCCAATAATGCAATGCTTTTGCGCAAATCTTCATCAATATAAAGAGATTTAAGTTTTCACATCATAAGTTATATTTGTAAAAACCTCAAATTGAAAGCTCGTATCGTGGAGGTTTTGAAAAATCTATCGGTGGCGGAATAAAGGTTTGCGTTAGGAGCTGCCATCAGGGGCTCGATCTATGGTTTTGAGTGACCCCTGCAAAGTGCAGTAAATTTTTCTATTAATTAATGTACAAAAATTTTAACGGCCTACAAAGAAAATTGCATTTGATTATTACATAAAGCTTCACATTATTAGCAAAGTGTCAAGTGCCACCGTTAGGTGCCCATTTGGCAGTTTGTTATTTTGTATGAACTGGATCAAATTTACGTTCAAAAACATGAACAATTTTGACTTTCTTTCTTTATAAAACATAAGTAATCTTTACTTTTTTGTCTTTTTGTAAACAAGGGGCATAGCTTTATGTGCACCAGCAGCCTTTTGTAAGATTTATCCGCCCTTGATTATCTTGCCATTTCGTCTCAAAAATTTAACTAAAGAGTGCATGATTTTTAAGTACTCACAATTTACATATGCAGATTTATTAAAACTTCAAAGCTTTTTGTTTTCAGCCCGTTTCCAAGTGTTTCATACTCATCTTAAAAATATGGAGAATGCGTGTTATTGTATTGTGAATAGAAAGAGAAAGAATAGGCAATGGATAATTTCAGTCTTCCTTCCAAAACATAAGGTCTGTCCATTGACTTTTTTCTACTAGTCACTACTATCAAACTTTCCTTTGACAAATTCTGTCGATTCAACACTGTATTCAGTTTGTAAATCCTTAAATTCATCATTAATTTACACCATCTTTTCATTTTTATTATAATACAATCACATTTGTGTATATTATCATTTTATCATATTATTACCATAAACCTTTGGATAGCATCATGAATTTTAGAAACATACTTATTTTCAAAAAAATTTTGTGTTAATTCAATGAGACAGTCATGCGCTAACAAGTGTTTTCAACAGTGATGTAGCCAGTGGGCAATCATCAGCATTATCAACACGTACTGGGCATGTGAAATTTCTCCTTTACTAAAACTACATACATTTAACACGTACTGGCCATGTGAAATTTCTCCTTTACTAAAACTACATACATTTAACACGTACTGGCCATGTGAAATTCCTCCTTTACTAAAACTACATACATTTAACACGTACTGTCCATGTGAAATTTCTCCTTTACTAAAACTACATACATTTAACACGTACTGGCCATGTAAAATTTCTCCTTACTAAAACTACATACATTTAACACGTACTGGCCATGTGAAATTTCTCCTTTACTAAAACTACATACATTTAGAACGTACTGGCCATGTGAAATTTCTCCTTACTAAAACTACATACATTTAACACGTACTGGCCATGTGAAATTTCTCCTTACTAAAACTACATACATTTAGCACGTACTGGCCATGTGAAAATTCTCCTTTACTAAAACTACATACATTTAACACGTACTGGCCATGTGAAATTTCTCCTTTACTAAAACTACATACATTTAGGACGTACTAGCCATGTGAAAATTCTCCTTTACTAAAACTACATACATTTAACACGTACTGGCCAAGTGAAAATTCTCTTTTACTAAAACTACATACATTTAGCACGTACTGGCCATGTGAAAATTCTCCTTTACTAAAACTACATACATTTAACACATACTGGCCATGCACGTACTGGCAAATTTTAACTAAACTAAAATTCTCTTAACTACTAAACGTTTCTATCGTCAGAAGTGAAGGCAACCTAAATATTTCGTTCTGCCATATAAATTTTATATCATAAATCTGGGGCCGGTTGCACGAAGCCTGGATAGCGTCATCCATTGGATAGCAAAAATTTTCAAACTTATAAAAAAGGTGTTTATATTTTTCTTACGACAAAGCAATTTCGTAACCTTCGAAACCATATTTTATTTCAGTGATTGCTCAGTTTAAATCTTATATTTTTTGCTTATTAAAAGGTTTTAAAAAGTTTAAAAAGATTGCTATCCAATGGATAACGCTATCCAGGCTTCGTGCAACCTGTCCCTGTAGTTTCTACGCTGTCGGTGAATAGAAAAGACATCTGCATAGCAGGAGTAAAACTTGAGCTGGCAAGACTACTATATGTAATAATAGTTATTTACCCTGTTATATTGTTGAATTTTGTCTCTGTCAAGATTATCTCTCATTTTGGACGTCATCAACGATTTCTCAAAATCTCTGTTTACAAAATTACAAAGACAATTCATACATTTTCAATATATGGCATTAAGGTACAAATGCCTAGGGCCGTAACACAAGTGAAGCTGTTTAACGACTATTTCAAACTTCCTAAAAATCATCGTTCTTCGTTGAATTTTACATTTTAAGTTATATGATTGCTTAATTGAATTGTCGTTTTCTCGTTGACACGTTTTTAATAATAAATGATGGGAAAATACATCACAATCAAAGAATTGTTCCGTTATTTCCAAGAACATAAAAACGTGTGTCATATATTTAACTTTCATTTTTAAGATGTTTCAACATTACTCGTAAATCATCGACGGTCACTTCATAGAAATCATCTGCAACATCTGATGATTCTAAAACAACAAGAGAAGTTTCATAGAATTTGTAGAATAAGAACAGATGCTCTACTAAGAAAATCGTTATTTTCGCAGGTCACCAACTTTTACTTAGTTGTGGACTTAAATGGCAACAATAAAAAAGACTTACCATATCTATGAAATTATTTTTGCTGTAAATTACAAATTAGCTTTTTGTTTTCGCCAAACCTAACGCAACCAAGCTATATATTTATTATGCCCAGCAACCATTTTCACTATCTTTAAAGGTCATTATAATGTAAATTCTCGTAACGATTGCCAGAAAAGGATTGCCATTTGAATTCTTTAAAATCAAAAGAAAATTAAAACAAATTTTTATATTTTGTGTGAAAAATCACAATTGTTTTAAGTGTTTGTTAACATTCAGTTTCATAGAGAAACAATAGAATGTACCTTCAATGCTATCGAAAGATTTTGTTCTTTGTAAAGATAAAATGTCAAAAAAAAGCTCTGCAGATGTTCTCCCTAAATAAACAACAAAGTATTCTCAGCCTAAACCACAACTTTACAGTCCTTTTCAGTTGAAATATCTATCTATTTGTCATTGGTTTCAAAAACTTCAAATGATCTATATAAATTTTTATTGATTGCTTAACTTTCCCATAAAAGTTCAAAGTGCAGAGTTCACAGTTTTTGGAAACATTTACCTTTGCTAGAAGCAGACTAAAATTCTATATTATTTTTACGAATAACACACAAAATATTATCTTTATAGGCATGTATCGGGCTCTGAGGCAAATGGAAAGAAAACAAAAATACTGAAGAGATCTGGGATCATCTTCTGGAAACTTTCCTCACCATCAACTTGTTGTTCACCATCAATTTGTTGCTTACCGTCATTTTGCTGCTCAACCATGCCTCGTTATGAGGCGTTTGATGCATTTCTCATTTTTGCTAAGTCGAGATTCACTGACAAAGAGGAAGAAATTGCTGAGAACATTTCAAAAAATCTTGGCAAGCCTTTCATTTTTGTATGCACCATCACTGATAACGAAACAACAGCCGAAACTGTTGAAGGTAGGGAAATTGTTGAAGGTTTGGTTGAAGATAAAACTGATATCTATGTTATTCACAACAATGGTGGTGGAAATGACGACTTTGAGCGTCTAGATGAAGATATTTCATTGAAGTTGGTAAAACGTCGAAGAGATTTGTTTCTGCATTCTTTGAATAAGACCATTTTTGTAAACACAAAGGATGCCAAAGAAATCTTTCAAGAAGCCAAAAAGTATAGAAAAGATGAAAAACGGAAGGACGCTGTTGCTTGTATTGAGGATTTTTACAGCTGGCACTTGATTCCCTCATTAAAAAACTCAAAGATAGATTTTGCCATAACTGGAGACTCTGGAACAGGAAAATCATCATTTATCAATGCTGTGAGAGGGTAATTTGTCTTTTCTCTCAAATTAAAACAAAAATGTATTGAATTAATTAATTGATTGATAGGCAGCCACAATCGCTCACGACTAGTTTCAAGAATATGCATGTGTATAACTGTAAAATGCTTTATCGGTCAAGTTGATCTTTTATCAACCACATGACATGAAATTGAAAATTGAAAAAATTGAAATTGCCTCATTATTCAGATAATTCAGTTATTTTTTTGAAAAAGAAAACCGTTGTCCAAAATATTAATGGTCTGAATTCCTGTAATCACTGAACAGACTTACATAAAGTTGCGATGTTATGTATAAAATATTCAAACTGGTGTTAACTTTAGGAATACTTTGAGAATTTTATCCCGTAGAAAGCAAATAAATTATGGATTTTTATATCAAGTTTTCTTTCCTTCAGAATCAAAGGTAAAGGAAAGAGAGCTGCACCAGTTGGTGTCACAGAAACAACAAGAAAGGCCACTAAATATTCACACCCGAATAATGAAAACATCGTTTTCTGGGATCTACCAGGCATTGGAACAGACACACACCCCAATCTTAAAAAATACCTGAAAAATATTGGTGATCTGGAGAAGTACGATGCATTTCTTATTTTCTGCAAAGATCGATTCACCAACTTTGACAAAGAGCTGGCTGAGAAAGTTATGAATGATCTCAAAAAACCTTTCTTTTTCATTCGTACGAACGTTGATTACGATCTAAAGAATGCCAAGAAAAAGAAAAAAACGTTTGATGAAGCAACAGTCTTGACGACAATGAGAAATAATTGTTTCGAAAACTTGAAAGATTTGATTCACGATGAGAAAGATATCCACATGATTGACAACAAGGCTACAGACAAATATGATTTTCAACGCTTGAAGGAATCCATTGTTGAGGCTTTGCCAGTTGATAAAAAGGAGAGTTTTGTTGATTCTGACCGTAAATTGACATACGCTACCGCGAGAATGAAGGCCAACATTTTGAAAGGTATGACATTGTGAAAGTAGTTTTTTGTTGAAAGTTTATCTTTTGTTTTGTGAAATGTAAGGAAAATTTTAATACACAATAATTAATGATATTTTGCATACTGAACGATCGAGGCACATGTTCCACATCATTGGTTTTTTTGCCTAAATTGTTTGTTTTTTTGTTTTTTGATAATGGTATTACCAGTATATGATGAAAGTAATCCCAATAAATTATTTACTACTTTGCACTGGAAACTAGAAAAAATGAATGCACAATTTTTCATTCTCTTGTTAAATATTTGAGTACGAATTTGCCTTATTACCTACCTGATAAATAGTTTGTTTGATGTTTTTAATTAAAAACATTTACATGCATTCGCTATTCACTGCAACCTTTAAGATGTAACTTTAAAACGAAGGCTTATTGACTAAACCATTAAGAAGTATGTTGCTTTTTCAACATAAATATAGAACGGGGGGAGGGTTGTAACAATTTTTATGTTCATCATTATTATTTTATTTTTTAGCTCAATTATCCAAAGTAATTGTTTTACTGATGATTGTTGAGTCTGAGCCTGAAGTTTTTAAGAATCTGATTTTGCAAGAAGTCATTCGATATCATGGTGTGTTTGTACAGCCTGGAAAAAAAGAAAAAGACCTCCTCAAGAGTAAGCACCTTAAAGAAATAGAACAAAAGCTCAAGAAAGAAAGGTCCTTTGGAAATTCTATAGAGTCTATTGGAGATTCACCTGCTAAAGTGCAATGGGCGTATAATTACCTTATAGATTGCATTAACAATTTGAAAAATCGATATGCATGAAAGAACTAACTTTTAAAATGTTTTCCACATTACAAAATATTGCTATGTCAATCAGTAGACAACACGAAACATATTAATCTCAACATAATATATCTCTATATCTCACGTTTCGTCTCAAAATAATAATTGCACATAGTATAAAATCTTGCCATTAAAAATATAGTTGTTAGGGTATTTTTTAATGAAAAAATACACGAAGATTCACTTCTTCTGTAATTCTTTAATGACTTTTCACAAAATTTGAGGTTCGAATCAAGCGCACAAAATTTTCTATATTTTATTTTGTTGACAACAACGTCACATAGCTTTCACAGCTCGAACAAACTTAGAAAATTAAAGCGTGATTCGCAAATAGTCGTCCTAGTAGATTCACTGGTTTCAGTCACCTCTAGAACGCAAGCTCATTAGACGGTGCTTTATCAACGCGACTGAAATGGCTTTTTTAAGACAACTCAAACTCCTCGGACGACTTTCTGAGAACCAGCGTGTTAGTAGATGTAGATCGTGTGCGTTTTATTAAAGTCCTGAGATGGACTGACGATCAGTGTTGATGTTGACTACCGTATTGACAATCTTGTTGACCAATGAGAAACTTTCACCGTCCACAAAGCAGGAGTACACAAGACATGAGGCAAATTCTTGCCCCTCCCCGTTAATTCTTGTTGCTATCCTTTTTTGAAAAACCTTATTTTCCCATTCCTCAGGTTGGTCTGCTAGTTACGTCATAGCCGCCATGTTGGATGATTTTAATAAAGGTTGTAGTCAATATTTTAGCTGTTTAAAAGATGATCTTGTATGTTATGTATGGAATAAGAATTTATTACATCCAAATCCTAAAGAAATTTATTAGTAATCAAACTTACCTAACAGATCGAACAAGAAATATATAATGCATTATATTCTGAAAAGGAAAAATAATCATGACGAAAAGGTAAATGAAGTATAGCGAGCTGTTTAAAATGACAAAGGTTTGAAGCTTTAAAGGTTTAAAGCTTTAAGGTTTAAAGCCCGTTTTTTACAAAAAAGATTTACAATCTAGTATTTCCAGCCTGAATATTTAATCTTTTTATGCAAATTTTTCTGTATATCCTCCTTTCAAAAACAAAAGAGGTTTTAGAAGTGAATAATAATGCTTTTCATTTACATAACAGGACTGTATTTATGAACTGAAATCCGTTCACTGACACTAAATTCAGAGCTACAGACGTATTTGGAATTCTTTCCAGTTTCGAAAATCAATTGCTCGACAGTCTTCAAAGCAATGTTTTCTACAGAAAGCACAACTCAATTCAAGAGCTTTTACACTGAATTTACAGCAACCGACAAATTTCAAGTTTATTCAATCTGAAATAATACATCGCAAAGTTAAACATACATCCGAATCACGTACACTATACTGTGTTTTATCAAGTGTTATTGAGAGAATTTTATTTTATCGTGAGAACGCGTGTCATCAATGATCAACTAATCATCATATGATGGTCTCTCTCTTCAGGTAAACATTTAAATACTTCAGTAAAGTATCAACTAGTTAAGTTGTGATTATTGTGTGCATTGCGATTTGCAAATTTGCCTTTTTATTTTTTGACTTTTGCTTTCCTGAAATGCGCAAAAAAGCGACAAAAACATTTTTGAAGGCAAAATGTATGTTTAGGCAAAAATTGACGGATTGTTAATACCCAAAGAATAAATATAAGCTTGAATATAAAACATAAACATAATTTGTGGCCTTAAAGGGCCGATGCATGCAGTGAAGTATTTGTACTCTGTTTTATTGGCTAATTTAAAAGCGAGTACACACACAAAATCATTTTTACGCAAACAGATTTGAAGTTGGTATTTTCAAACTGAGTTTATAGCCGTCAAAAGTGGCGATTTTTGACCATTTTAAACAATTCCTGTGTAATTTTTTTGGCAGCCATGTTTGCTGCATTGACGTCATTGCGAGTACACATTCTCGACATGACAATAGATATTAGGGATCTTTAGCAAGAGTACGACTACGACAACGAGTGCGAAGTTTGACCGTGTAAGGGAATGGCACGAGGAAGTTTGTTGTCGTTGTCGCTTTGTCAAAATTTTGTTTTAGCTCTAAACAACAGAACGAACCTTTTTATTGTGTAAAATACCGACGTTTGCGAAGCAGCTACGGCTCTATTTGTCAATAATGATATCAACAAATCGGTAATACTGATTTTGCGAGAATATAGGACTCTTTAGAGTGAAAAATCTTCACTATTTTAAATTTTATGTACGATATATTTGTACTACTTTATTGTTTGTTTACCTTTCACTTTGCGTACGAAATACATGAAAGTTTTGCAGGTCATATTTTCCTTTTTAATGTACATCTGCGCTCAAAAAAGGTTCTAAATTAAAGCCTGGATGCTCGAAAATAGTACTGTCATCTAAGTCCTTACAAAATGAAGAAATATATCTATTTTCTTTGCTTAAAAAGACATCGTAGTTGCGACTACGAATTTTTCACAAAACATTGTACTCAGATTGATGACGGCTACGTGTTTTTGTTGTCGCAACAATGTTTTCGCGCCAAAATGACGTAAATCGCACTCGTAGTCGTACTCGTAGTCTTTGCTAAAGCTTCCTACTATTTTACTGTCGACTTCCGTATTACTTATGACGTCAAATGAGCAAACAGAGCGGCCAAAAAAAGGTTTGCTCTCGAGGACGACTTTTGGAGTTAAAATTTGTCAACTTCCACTCAACGTAAAATGGTCATAAATACATCAAACTGCTTACCAAAATCTAAATACATGTTTAAACGAGTAGAAAAGAGTACGGAAATTTTAATTCATAAACAATTTAAGCTCGACAGATAAGGTTCTCGTTGAATGAAAAGTCTGGTCGTAGTTGAACTCGATATGACCTTCAAATCCTAAAAACAAGTGTGTTTGAAACTTTGTAAGCAGTAAACACAGCAAATTAGTTTTGAGTCGATTTAACTCCCTTTGGACCCAGTGTAGCTGCTGACTGTATGTTATAGTGACGTTGATCTGCACTAGAAGTATTAAGTTTCAAGCAAATTCAAATCGTCTTTTTTAAAAAGCTTCTATGTGTTCGATACGAATAACCTTTTTGCAACTAAATATAATTTTATGCAACAAGAAGTGATTTGCAACAGCTTATATAGAATTTTCAATTCAGCGTTTTGAATCCCTTATTAGCTAATTGAAGAGTTCAATAATCTTGGATTCAATCCTCTGAAGAAGGACTTTACTCCAACCGTTCAACTGAAGACAGTTGTTCTTATCGTAAAGAGATGTCTTGCATGAGAATCTTTCTTTGCTACTTCAATGCTTCAAAAAATTGATAGTCGAAAATCAGCCAGCTTTTACATGACTGAAAAATGAGTCGTATTTTCATATTTTATCAAAGTGCTTTACATTTGCTGACATCATATAGTTCATACGAAGTCCATTCCGCGAATTGTGTGATATTTCTTGACAAATAAAATGTTGCTAAAATACTTGACAGGAATATTTCATTATTTCAATAAAAAACTATTTTTAAAATTTCTTGAGAGGTACTTACATAGAATGCACGCTTTATTTCCTGACCGATGAAGATATAAAAAGCTTTCAAAGAAAATTTATAGTAACATCGTCTCATGGAATTCGATATATTTCCTTTCAAAAATAGACGGGAAACAGCTTGATCTGATAACTTCACCCGAATGGCAATAAATAGATTTCTAACTGCAAAACTGTGATTAGATATGCTTGAATAATTATGTAAACAACGTGAACTATTTTTAATAGATATTTATGGAGTCTAAAGAGACCACCTACAAAACCAAAACATCAATATATATTTACAAAGCTTCGTTTTGTAAATTTTCATGTCAGCATACTCTGCTGTTTAGCTGTTCGCATAATCGTTGCTTTCCGGAAAAAAAATAGTTATTGGAAAATGTAGTTGATCAATTAAACCCTCAAAAAAATTTCCACCATTTTTGATAAAATTTGCATCAACCAATGACTTTATGACTTTCCTTATAATCGATAATCACAAAGCCAACACATTCCATTTTATATTATCCTATTGTAGTGTCTGCCATTGCGAAGCGGACCATTTACCAAAGACGTATTGTTTTATAATCTGCGTGACATCCCGCTGTATGGAAATTCTTTCCAGGTAACTCTATACAGAAACATACGTCAGCAAATACCATTGTAATGCGTTTAGACAATACAGACTTTTTTTATGCCAAAACTGTATCATGGAAATCGCCAAAGACAAAACAATGGCGGTTTTCTATTGTTTTTTAGATTTGTATCTTTAGAAATACCTTTGGCATTGTCGCAAAATGGGACGAACTGTTACTGCTATGCTTCAAAAACATAGTCGAACTCTTTCACCCTAAAGCATTTTCTTCTCATCATAACTGCCGACATTTTTATTTGCGCAACAAATTCTTCCATTACGAAAATCTTATCTTTAAGCATTTGCGCGAGACATAAAGTCTTGCTGATCAAATCAACGTCGGTGTCTTTTGTTTGACGCTGTTAAAACACAGTGAGATTTTTTGAAGCCGTTACGTAAGGACAGATACATTGTTGCGCTTCTTCCGACCCATCCGGATATGCTAAATTTTTCAATCACTACCTCAAGGGGTATATAAACACGAAATACTACGCCAGCACGTTCTTACGCACATAGCAGCAACTCGTGTTTATAAATTATGAACGGTAATTAAAGCAACGTGTGTTAAGCAGCCCTACAGCTCTGTTTAAAGTAGGTGTGTGCTAGTTTTGGGTGAGTATTTCTCCAATCAACGTCGATTGTTGGGAAACCTTTGACCTGTATGACCTACTGTGATGTAGCCAAGCAATTTGTAATAAAACCACTGGGCATTCGAGTTTAGCACTTACTCTCTGACGGTGAAATGTGTTGACCGTATCGATCGATGTCGTATTATTCACAAATACGGAAATAAGCGCGTACAAAGTGTTGAAATCACGCGCATGAAAGTAGATACATCTTTGTAAGGCTTTTATGAGCACATAATACAAGCTTTCATTCCACCGAAATCCCAAGCATCCTTCGATGATACTATCTCAATAATGGGCAGTTGTGTTACTCGTAGTAAACAAATTGAACCTATCTCAACCAGCAGTCGAGAGAGATGGAAAAACGAAGCGAAGATTGAGCAAGTTTACAGCAGAGTTACCGATGGAGGTCTTGACAAACGCGCCGTTTATGTTAATCAGTTCATCAAAGAGCGATATGAAATATTCACTTCCATCGGTAAAGGAGAGTTTGGTCATGTCGTTAGAGCTCAGGACAAACACAACAAAATGCCTTACGCAATTAAAGTGATTGAACTGACGCCAGACATTCGCGCTAAATCAAAAGTCGAGTTGCAAATCCTGAGGAAAGTCAACCATAAGTATGTCATTCGTTTGTACGAAGTTTACGCAACAACACGCCGGCTTTATCTTGTAATGGATTTGGCTACTGGTGGAGAGCTTATGGACAGGATTTCCCTGTTGGGAAACTTCAATGAACGCGATGCATCACGTTCTGTACATGATCCTCGATGGTCTACGCTACCTGCACTCCAATGGTATCACCCATCGAGATCTCAAACCACAAAACATCCTTTACTATCATCCTGGAAGCAATTCGAGGATTATTATTACGGATTTTGGTCTTTCTGCCATGAGTGACTCGTCTCAAAATCCTGCAAATTACCTCATGAAGACGGACTGTGGTACTGTGGAGTACATGGCACCAGAAGTCATCACTCGCGCGCATTACACCAATGCAGTTGATATGTGGTCAATGGGTGTGATAGCATACATCGTACTGAGCGGCCGCCTGCCTTTCCCGCTCAATGGAAACATTCTGTCCACATTGCGAATGATTTGCTTTTGCAAGTACTCTTTTGAAGAGGAGGTAAGCATGTTTAACGTGTAATTTTACCGATGTTTTGGTACGTGTTAAAAAGGATCACCCATAGAAAAGAAAACTTGCAAAAAAACATGCATGCTTTTTCAAAGATTTTGTCTGTAAAGGCGTAGGAGTAAACTTGTCGTGTTAAAGAATGCACTTGTCACTATTTATATCTTCATCATAAAATCATGAAAAACCGTTCATCGCAATTGTTTTCTACATTTCACTGGTTTTGCTAATTGCACAAAGCGTTTTCGATCGTTTGGTCATAGTATAGACGTCTATCTAAAAGACAAAACATTCCTTCATTCCTTCCATATAAGGGTTGCTTGAGACAGCTACGAAGATAAACGCAATATTTCTTGACTTTTTAATAAGCAGGCAAATGAATCATCAATTCTGTCGAGTTCGAATGAGCAAGCTAAAGACTAACTCGTACCATACTGTAATACTGAACATAATATCATTGCATAAC